GCCCGACGTACTTTTTTAACCCCCCCCCCCCCCCCCCACCGCCCCGGATTCTCTAGATTAAGTTAAGTTAAGCGACATTTGCCCACTGTAGCGTCCGTATCTAGGGTTAGACTCCAGCCACTGCAAAGCTAAAAGCATGCTATTGCCAATATCACATATTACAGCACTCTGCATGTTTCTCGAGATGTGATCACATCACTTTTCGCATACAGAATCAAGACTCTGGTCTCTATATCACATTAAAATGTCTTAGATTTTAGTCATTACCTGAGACGATTTAGGCAGAACCTCGGCGACCTATCATGTTTCGAGTTGAGTCGACCAGGATTGAAAACAAGCCACACCGAGTACTTCAAATTGCTTTCCCATGAGATTTTTGACCAGATAAGTGAGCTATATGTAGGCTCGCGAGACTTCCGTGACCATATATCAAATAGCGATAGCAGAGATTCATCCTATATACACCATACTCAGTTTACAATCACAATCACCTCAAAGTCACATTCGGCCAGCTACACCAATGTCCTGCACAGATTCTCTCGAGTACCAGGACGCTAACAAGTCCGAGCATGAGCATCAAGGTATTCAGGCTTCAAAGAGTAAGCTTGACATGATCTGCATACGCCTGAGAGTGGCTAATGTATACAAGACCAATTTTCTTTCAATGAAGAGTTTGACGTCTTCTTGAAGAAGCTAGCCACATCTCCTGATGGAAAACAGGATGCCTCTGTAGTTTCATCGCGATTGATCACTTACCACGATCTCCAAGATAAAGCCGCTCAAGATGGTTATTCTCTGCGCAGCCTCCCATTGTCAAAACTCAGCTCCAGGTATGCCCCATTCCCTTCCGCACAGTTGACCAACCATCTGACTTATGGAGTTTTGGCAATGGTTACTTCTGCCTTAAGTCCATGGACATGGCCCGCGTTGATAGCTCTATGTCTCTTCAGGACTACAAAGACCGTGAGATCCAGTCTGACAATGGAGAAAAAGGACACCAATCTATGAATGTGTACTGGACGCGCGACTTTCAAGGAGATCTTAAGAAGGTTCTTAAAGATGTTTCAGAGACAGGCAAGGTAATGGCCGAAAGAATGAAACGACGGTAAATAATACTAATATGTGCTAGCTTCCTAAGGATGAGCGCGAGCCATTCAAACCAGAGGCGATTCCAGACTATAAATCGGCTCTCAGCACGGAACAGTCCATCAAGATGGAGAAGCCGAAGGAGAAAGAGTCAGTATGCCTAGTCATAGACATTGCCTATCTAATCTTTTTAGCTCCTTGTACGGCCTTTCTCAGGACAATTGGTCTCATATTATTGAGGGAAACCAGCTGCTGTATGCGTTTCAGGTTAACGAGGAGCTTGTGGACAGACTCCACGGGCAGTCTCTCCAAGACTTCTTGGCAGTCAAGCCTAGCAAAGCAACTGAGTCCAATGACGCAAAAACGACAGAGAAAGCCGCAGAAGATTCCAATCAGTCGGTTGATTCCAATGACGCAAAAACGACAGAGAAAGCCGCAGAAGATTCCAATCAGTCGGTTGATTCCATGGCTATACATGATGAACCCAATGTTTCTGCTATGTCGACAGTCAACTCAGTCGTCCCAATCAGCCGCTCAACCAGGCCAGGTACTTCTCGCTTGCACTCAGTATAAGATCATCATCTGACGAATTGCCAGTGTTCATCATCAACCCTGACTCTGGAATTGGAAGCAGTGGGAAAAAGGAACTCGAGTCAAGCAAGATCCATGCTGGGCTATTCTGGAGTAGTCCCAACATACTGAGTACCACCGAAATCATCAAGGTTGAGGACACTGTTCAGCAATGGTCTATCCAGAGTGGCATGTCTTCTAAGTCATTCACCGCAGGAATATCATTCCCAATTGGCAAGGCGTCCGTTGGTGCTAAATTTGGGTTTGAGCGTGAGCAAATTAACGAGAACGAGCAGAAAAAGGCAGAGCGTTGCAGTACTCTTACAGCAGTGCATCTGATTCCTACAGCACAGATAAATATCAACGAAACTACAGTTCTTCTGAGTCCTGATGCTGAGGCTGACATCAAGAAACTGAGACAGAAGCGAAGGTTCTCTGATCTATTCACTTTTCTGATGAAATATGGTATGAAGACCCAGCGAAGCTCGAGTTCGCTGAGCCTGACAGTTTCTGCAGGCACTCAGGTCTACCAGACCGTTACACTCGGCGGCCAATTGTACCATGCACAGTCTTTAAACACTTCAGACGCTCAGCAGGTACAGGAGCAGAAAAATCGAGTCAAGAAATCTATGAACGCAAGCCTTGGCATCCCGGATTTTGTTGAGGTCACCACCGGCTATTCTAAGGAGGACAGCAACACAAAAGTGGAAGGCAACAGGGAAATCCATACCACAGAAAACCTGTCTTGGTCCGGAATCGGTGGCAATCCCACCCTCATTGTTGAGTAAGTGAAATAATGACCGCGAATGGCGCGTTCTGAGCTGACACCGAAAGCCCTCCTAAATGGCGCGAGTCACTAAACGAATACACTAACTGGAGGCCAATTCGGGTAAGAAAAGAGAAGAAAAGATGGCAATTGAATTCATGAACTAACGGAACCTAGTATGAGACTCCTGTCCGGATCGATACTTTTATCGGCAGGATCCAGGGCTACAGCGACGTGCCGGTTCTCTTTTCTGAGATATTGTCGACTGGCGTTTTTAACCGTTCTATTGCCTCCTTGTCTCCCGTTGGCCTCCAAAGAAGTGATGACAAGTCGTCGTACTTGGTCCCGACGCCTGGAATGATCATTAACGCGACAACTGGCACCACTCTTCCGAGTTCAACTTCATTATCCACTATCCAGACGGAGGTAACACCAGGGGGTTATTCATGGGCCGTTTATGCGAAACCACGTGGAATCCAACAGGAAATACGTGCCGAGTTGCAATCCACCTTGAACTTCATGGTCAACATTCATCACCACGCCCGCTACCTCAAGGATCTATGCGCAGATACAGACAGTTTCTCAATTTTGCTCAAGTGGACATCTTCGTCGGTCAGAGATTCGTTTATAGTTGACGTGGAACCGAATACGCAGAAGAGCGAGAACGACAGAACTGAACTCAAGAAGGCTTCCACACAGCTTGAAGCAGCTAAAGAGACACAGAAAAACGCAGAAACTGCCTGGGAACAGGACAGATCTACACTTGAGAAGGACAAGGCGAGTTGGCCAGCGTGGCAAAGGGGAACGCCAGCAGAGCAGCAAAAAGCTAAAGATCAAAAGAAGCAGTTCGATGACGCCAAAGCCAAGAGAGACAAGGAAAAGGCTAACAACGACAAGCAAGTCGCCATGAATACTGGAAGGCTTGCTTATGCTAGGGTGCTTGGCCTAACAGGCCCCGATGATAACGCGGATAAGAACATGCTACTCCTCAGAAGCGTTACCTCGGAAGCATGGATCGTGGGTCTTTGGACAATTCGCCGACAAAATCCCGCCAATGCACCTTCTAAGAAGTCGGGCAATAGCAAAGAGACGTCACTTTCGATAGAAGACTTTGAAGATCTCAAGTCTGCATTTGTCCGACGTTTCAGCGGCCCACAAGGAATCGAAGGAGGCTGCGACTTCATCAATGACACCCTGAGGACTCGGTCGCAGGCGGTTGTCAAATTCAGCATGTTTGCTAGCGATGGGATTGCCAGACAGGAGGCTGAAGTGCATAGCAAGATAGATCCTCGGTACGCATTCGACTTTATCGATCGACGGATCAGCCTCAGCAGCATTCATTACTTGGCTGTTAGTGGCGAGATTGCAGCAGCTGGTGGAGGCCCGTTGCCCCTTCAGGGATATATGCCTGAAGCTATACTTTTGCAGTATCAGGAAGCACTAGCTTGCCTTATCTTCCTTCAAACCCAGAAAGAGAATGTAAAAGACTCGAAGAAAAAGTTACTCAAATCGATTCAGGTACAGGATGCAGCAGGAGCACAGAAACAGCTTACAGAGTTTTTTGAGACGATGTATAAGCTTGAGGTTAAGAAGAAGAAGGAAGATTAGAGTTAAGTTGCTATTGTATAATTTTATTCCTATTTTCTTTTATTTGATTGAGATTGAGACCGCTGTATCCCAAAGGTTTACAACAGCTGCAGAAGAACACGGGCTCCTCCCGGAGGGCCAGATGGGGAACAGGGCCACAGGTCGGGTTTGGTTAGGGGTGTATTGGCCTCCCAAATAGCTTATCTGCTCGACTAGTGCTATTCTGTATTTTCTACTCAAGTATCCTTGAATGGAACTCGACGCGTTCCTGTGAAGCGGCACTTTCGATTGGTCACCAGGCCGCCTCGATCCACACCTATCCTCGACGCGTTCCCAAGGAAATGACACAGGCCAGGCCCCCACTATACGATAGGGATTGCTATCTCTAGCGCGTACTAGAGGGGCAGGCAGGGCTTCTCTTCGTGGTGCTGGCTAGAAATCTGTAAACGCCTTTTGCCGCCGCGGTGTTTGAAGAGCTAAGAAGAGCCACTACTAGCCAAATTGTCTGGTGCTATAGGCGGCGAGGGTCATGTGCTGCCACCCACAAGCTACAAGGGAACGCTTTGGAAACCACACGACTGCGAAACCAATCCTACAATTGGCGAACGTATGAGCCGTGTGACGGGACACCCTTGGGGTGCCACTGCTGCTCTGCCGAAGGGATATATTGCGCGATAAACGAAGAAGTGATCCAGTCGAGAGGAGACAAAACGAAGAATAGAAACGACACGAACCGAATCACGCAGAGAACGACGAGGCACCTAGGTTAGTGGGAGAGGGAACACCGTATGGCTTGGCTATGGCGGGCGTAGAGAGTATGCGATTGATTAATCTCTTACGAGATACGGTCAGCTCTGGTAGGCTTGAGGTGCAAACTGCGTATTGACTTGCGAACCGGCAGTGCCTCGCAAGAGGGAACGGAGACAGGATCCAGGGGGAGCAAGGCAGAGGGTTCATGAAGGTGGATTTACTCTACCTCTGCAATGTATTTACTATCGCCTCGGTAGAGAATACAGATCAATACGCCGACAGGAGCCGCAGAGATCGGGGCAATACCCCTGTGGGCTGCACTACGCTCTTTGGACAGATGAATGAATGGCAAGGAGACCTATCATGATTGCTGGGGAGCGCAACCTCATCTCTCTCGATATGCATGTTTCCAAGGTCATACCTGAACTGGAAATGCTTGGTGTTCTGGAGGGTTTCAGTAGGGATGATGATCAGCCAACCGTATCCCATACGGTTCGTGGCTACTGACATGACTCAAAAGGTACGCCTATTCTGCGGCCACTATGACAGCCTATCACGCTACGACATCTTATTACCTGCGGTGAAGAATGTGGCGACATGGCCCTGGCCAGGGCCTGCTCGATGTTGTGAATCAGTGGCTGCCACGGGGTCCGTCGCAGCCCGCTTCGGCAGGGTTCTGAATTGCTACGGGGCCACAATGGATGAGCGGCTGGCCTGAAGTCAGTTTCCACGACCTGTGACGCGCCACTGGTTAGGTTGTCGGGCGGAACCAGGCAGTTGCGGGTGTATAATACGGGGTCAGCCGGTTCCAGGGGCACCGGCAGCCCATGCTAATGATCCACCGACCGTAATCCCCAAGGCAAACGTGGCCGCCTTTGCCTTCATGGCCGGAATTTCCTCTGCCAAGAAATCTTAGTCGGCTACCGGAATGGGAAAGTAGGTGCGGGTACTTTCAGGTATTTGTATTCGGCAGGCTGGCCACCACTATGGCACTCCACAGGTGTACGCCCAAGTTCCAAGCCAAGTGCGTCAGAGCGATCAACCTCGGAAAGACAATTCCTTCCAAGCATATGAGCTATACTTCATGTATTTGAGCTATAATTGATGGAGCCCGGTCCGTGAGATCATGTCGAGAACGTTATGTTTGATCTTTGACCATCGGTCTGGCTATTATGCTTGACCCTATAGCCGACAATCAATCACGACTTTTGTTTACAGAGCTCGCTAACCGTCCTTACGGGGAAGTGGACCCTGGCGACTTGTCAAGAAGATACAAACTCTCTATACAGCCTGACAACAAATATATAATAAACCAAAAAGCATTTGGCACAGAGATATCGATGACATGTGGTATAATGCCTCAATATTTTTAGATTTAATACTGTACCTGAAAACTGCTTACAAGACGTTCCACGAGATAGAAAGTCATGTGACTATCTCCTATTTTTAGAGCTAGCATTTGGCATGTGAGCCTCCATTTTCGGCATCCAGAACCTCACTTTTTGGAGGGCTCCATGCCTGGTAGACGACTTTTGTATGCAAAGTGTTTTTATCAACACACCTTGAACTAAGGAAAAAGGAAAACTTGCCGAGGCATGGTTTGCTCACTCTCCGCTAAGGGAATCCATCACGAATTGACCGCCGATGAATATCTTACTCCTTGAAAGCTTGAAGTAGGAACTAATAGTGGGCCAATAACAACAGGGTTTGTTGACTTTGACCAATCATGACTACTCAATCCTCATTCCAGGGTCATAGATCGGACTCGGATGGCATGTCCTAGCACAAATCGGGATCGGGGTCGGGGTCGGAGTCCAGTGGATATGAGTACGGGGCGTGATCAAGGTCTGGGCAAATTGGCGGGGAAAGTCATGCATCAGATTGTGGGAACCTAACTATCGTGTCTAGCTCGGGCCCTGGGGAATATACTGGTATATTTGGCTTTCATATCGTTCGCGATTCGGCCTGTGGTCAATGGACGCGACGCCGGAAAATCTGCATGGGTTTATGGAAGTTGGATAGTGTATTCTTGCTGACTATATCGGGATAGTCTCCTACATCCACTTCTTACAGTCATGCTTTATGCGCTGTCATGCCACAACAGTGCGTGACTATTAAATTTAGGCCCACTTTTGCATTTCAAAGATATAGAAACGTAGCTTTGTTTCTTCCACACATCTTATTGCAGCAGCAGACCCTCTATTGTCCTCACCTGAATCAATACGAAGGGAACGATGTCATCGTGAAGGTAACCAAGAAGTCTGAATTGATCCTGTCGAGTTACAACAGACATAAACTGAAGATCTATCTAACATACCCAAGCATGTGGTCTGCGGTGTGTACTATTTACATCAGTGCCGCATCGGCGCTCCAGATCAGTGAGAGAACGGCCGCATCTTGTACCGCATATCATCCTCTGGGCGTCCTGGCAGGGGCTTGTCCTGGAACATTGGGTCAATGTACCATGCAGGATCTCCGCCATATTGGCCATCGTCTGAACTTGATTTGGTGTGCGTAATACTGTACCCATTCCCTAGCCAGCGCATCTTATTACCCGAATTCCGCAGACTTTCCCATTCAAAGTCCTCCCATCGAGGTGATCTCAAAGCCTCGAGTGCGTGCAACGTACTCCCAGGCCACAACCCTATAATATGGCTCCCGTCGCCGCCCGAACCTTTATACCAAGACTTGCACTGGTCTGTGTAGACAGTCTTCTTAAAGTACGCCTGGCAGTGCTCGACCCAGTCCGACACACGTTCTTTCTTGACATTCATTGTGCTGTAATCCTCCTTTTGCAGCTTCCGAATGCACTTGATGATGTAGTCGCCTGCGCTCTCAATGATGATCGTGAGGGCTCCGCTTCCGACTCCGGCATTAGGCCCCAACATGAAAAACAAATTTGGGAATCCATCGACAGCCAAGGAGAGATATGCTTCTGAATTCGGGCTGAAACGCTGTGCAAGTGTTGTACCATTTGACCCGTGTACTTGGAACTGCGGAACTCCACTGGTGTTGAACCCAGTGGCACAAACAATGCAATCTAGGTCAATTTGGCGCCCAGTCTTCAAGAGGATACCTTTCGAATTGACTTCTTTGATGGGATCGGTAATAAAGTCAACGTTAGGTCTGCCTAGGGCTTCGAGGTATCCTGGTCCTGGGGTCGCACGTCTGCAGCCAACACCAAAGGAAGGGATCAAGAAATCAGCAATTTCCGGCTTTGATGAAAGTCTTTCTCTCATGGCAGCTGTAGACATGGTGACAGCCATCTTTTGCAGATCTGAGTCTCGATGTGCAACTTCATGGACAGTATTGCCATGGCGTTCAAGCGTTTTACGGAACGCGAGTAGCTTCTCGGGATCGTTCAGAAACGCATTACGCTGTTCATCAGAGACTAATACATGAGTAATACATACAGAGGCGGGTTTTGTAGGAGGCTTACATTTTGGTCGTGTAGGATCCAAGCCAAGTTCCAGCATAGCAGCTATACTTGTGTCAACCTCTGAGACAATACCATTGGAGCAGGGGTATTCAAAAAGAGAGCGAAAGGACAGGAGCGAATATTTCATGGGGCGCATGACTCCTGAATCACTGTTACTCACAATCACCAAATGGATTTGTGATCCATGTTTTGCTTCTTACGAAGCATGAAAGCTTGGTTCCTCCGATCTTCTCAAGCTCTGGGACGATCTGTATGGCACTTGAGCCGTTTCCTATCACGCCAATATTCTTGTCTCCAAAATCGTAGCTTGTATCCCATGAGGCAGAATGCATAATCTGCCCTTCGAAGGTTCGAAGTCCCGAAATGTCAGGCCACGACGGGGTAGTGAAGAACCCTCTGGCGGAAATCACCACGTCTGCTTCATCTCTGAAGGTGGTCTTGCTTTGGACGTCTTTGACATCTAGTATCCACTGCTTTGTGGTCGCGTTCCATGTGCATGCTGTGACCTCGTGCTGTTGCTTGACAAACCTTGTCACGCCGAACTTCTCCGCTACGCCCTGTAGATAGGCGCATATCTCATGCTGAGGAGCATACATGGAAGACCAATCCGGTTTGGGTTCGAAGGAATACTGATAGCTATGCGATGGAACGTCGCACGCGCAACCTGAATTATCGACCTGTCTTAATATCTGTCATGATCCTAGGAGCGTAGACTTGAAGTGCTCACCTGGGTATTTGTTCACCCACCACGTTCCACCGATTTGATCCTCCTTTTCGTAGATTCTCAAGTCCACGTTCCGCAGTCGCTGAGGAATTCGGATACCAAGATAGATTCCTGAATACCCAGCGCCAATGACGCGAATCTTCAGCTTCCGGTGGTTTTCTACCGGAGAATCCTTGATGGTGAACATGATGAATAATTTGAGTGGAAGTAATCAAATAAGCAAGTTTAGTAATGACAGAGATGGCAAGTGATATAATTCATCAGTCAACAAACCGTCGAAGCTTTAAATAATACATGTATAGTGGTAATCCCCACGCTCTTCTGCAACTTCTCCACAGTCTCCGCGATCTCCACGATCTTCATTCCGCCATAATAGTCTCGGCAGTCGAGATTATGGGGATAGTCTAGCAAGTATTATTATACCATCGGACTAGGGCATCGGCCGCTACTACGGACCACAATGTCCTGCCCCTCACTGAAGTCTCAAGTGCCGAACTCGTCTCGCCCACAATCTTGTCGCCCGAGTCCGAGTCCGACCCCGAGTCCCGAACTCATGTCTTGATTCTTGCCATTCAGTGCAGATGTTTCAGGGTCAAGGCATCTAAATAAACGACTTGCTTAAGACAAGCACCGCAAGTCTAGTGCCATTCCTCTGCTCAGCAGTTGGTTCGAAGATGACCTCTGGGGCATAAGCATGGGTTTTCACTAATAAAAATCGCTGGTTGTATAGCCAGGCTTCGAAAATTGCCGAACATTCGTAAATCTCATGTCAAAAACGACTTGATCGCCTCTTGTCGAAATGGAGGAATATGTGCAGCGCTTCTCCACACATGTATATATCTTTGACCATCCAACTACTGTTGGATGTGAATAACTCAACTTGTACAACAACTATTGTACCATACCCATAATACCTTTTCACAGATAATAACTGGGAGGCTTGTGTTTACTTTCATCCGAATTTCGCGAGTGAAGGCCTAGCTTCAGCAGATAAAGTACGCCTGCATTATTCACTGACTTTCGCATCATATACATCTGGAACTTCGGGATCAGCCAAGACCCACTGCCACTCATTGCATATCATTATGCACGCGGGGAAGTCTTCGAAACCATTTATTTGCGTGGCCGTGGTGGGGAATCATTTGGGGACGGGGAGGTGTCCTCGATCGCTGATAATGAGCCTACTCGCCCGAGGCATAGGTATCGAGATACCTAGGCCGCCTACCTACCAGATACTTACCTAAACTAGGCATATAACCGCTGCCTATACTGCATGTGCACATATCGCTTGATACATTGAATGTAAGAAGAGTAAGCGCCATATGTAATTATCTCACATTGATAGATACGCTTTCAATCTGTAAGCAGACGCTTGTGCTGTAACCTTTATGCCTCAGGTATGTAGCAAGCCAGTACATCCTTCATTTCCTGGCTTCCCAGCTTGTTCGCGTAGTCAACAGCACTGCCCCAGGCACCCTTGGCCTTGGGATCCGCACCGTGGTCCAGCAACCATTTCACCCTCTGCACAGCCCCGGCCATGACAGCCTCGACAACCGCGAGTCCAGGCACCTGATGCCGTGACACTTCGCGGGAATTCACATCAGCGCCGTGTGCGACCAACAAGGCCATGGTCGGGATCAGCTTTTCGTCAAAATCACGCGAGGGCGTCACGCGGCCGACAAAGGGATTCGACACGCGGTCGGTTGAAAGAGCCCCGGCGGCCCGATGCAGCGGTGCGCCGTTGCTGATGGACGCTCCGGCAGCTAGGAGGTGTCGGACCGCATTTTCGTCGCCGTACCTTGCGGCTCTCTCGAGCGCGGCGCATGAGTCCGTCTCGGGCCCGCCGAGGCGATCGCGGTAGTCGCGCTGCGGGCCGAGATTAGGATCGGCGCCGTGTGCGAGGAACCATTCGAGTAAATTATGGTTGGTAACGATTTCAGGCAGCAACACGGCTCCGTAAAACCCAGGCGTGTTGGGCGTCCAGCCGTGCTGGGCCAAGAGCTCAAAGAGCGCTATTTGGCTGGACGACGGGGCTGATAGAATACAGCGGGGAGTTTGCCGGGCAATGGGCGCGCCAATGGATAGTGAATAGGCCGCTACGGCTATCTGGCCAGATCCGAGGGCCACGGCCAGACCATAGTGCAAAAAGGCCGGGGTACTGTGGGTTTCGGCGATGGCGAGCGACTCAACAACGTCAAGATGTCCTTGTTGACAGGCAATATAGTAGGGAGTTGGATGAATACTGGGGCCAGGCCTGTAATTAAGTAAGTAGACGTCTGTGGGATGGACGATGGGAATGTCGTCGTAAGCAGTGCCCATGCGTTGCGGTTGCGGTTGCGCTTGCATGACATTATTCATCGTCATTCTGTGGCGTCTTGATTCTGAACGCTTTTCCAATTGTCAGTGATTGAATAATGAATGGCAACGGTTCTATTTACCAATATTGTGGTTGCTGTGAATGAATTATTTAGGTAAGTACGCATGTGCACAGGCGTATCAGTAGAACGTCAACAAAAGCATCCAGGCAGCCACTATTATAGCCCGCGGCTATTTTTAGTATAGCTAGTAGGTTAGATAGGTATGTACCTGGTTTTATGTTCTGTACGTACTAATAGGTAGGCACATGAAAAGTATCTAAAAAAAAAAAGCAATTAGAAGATGGTCTACATTTACGAAAACTATGTGTGTGCAAATAGACTTCATTAACCCTTCCCGTTGTGTGACCCGAAAGGTGCCTCACTACCCAGCCACACTGTGGCGCATCGCAGTCCTTGATTAAAGCACCCACGATCCGAATTCCTAGGTATAAGTGTCCAGCCTAACTAAATGCTCGGCACACAATGCAGCAGACTTTCAAGATCCACCAAAAACCAAGAGACTCTGAATTCTAACATTTCCAAAGCCATGCCGGCGCAGAAGTTCCCGTCCGCGATGGATGGGAAACTCGGCCACGACCAGAATGGTTATATCTGCAGCATCAAGACCAAGACCACTCTCTTCAAGGAGCTTCATCATTGCACAAAGCGTCTTTCCAGTGGCAAGCACATCATCAACCACTACCACTGATTTGCAATTACTGCTAGCGTCACGGTCCATGCCTATCCTCTGGTCTCGACTCTTGACACGCGAAGACGACGATATGTACGATGCCGACTTGACGACGGAGAGGATGGGCGGGGGGAGCTTGGAGGCTTCGCGCATGAGCAGTAGAGGCACCTTGGTTCGTGTGGCCAATGCTGATGCAATCAAGAATCCGCCGGCCTCGCAACACGCTATGCGGTCAACTTGACTCCATTCAGATGCATACTGCGCTTCCAAGAGTGACGCGCATAGATCTAGGCCGCCCGGCTGTTCTACAATGCCAAGGATGTGCCGAAACTCAATTCCTGGCCGGGGATAATTAGGCACTGAGCGTACCATCTTGGCCAGTTTTCCCAGATCCTCATCCAAGAATTGAAGGAGAATATGTTGGGCAAAGTGCTCTGCGGCCTCACTGCCAGACGTTTCGTTGTGAAATGTCAGACTGGGCTGATAGTCCACGGTAATCGAGTCTGACTTGCAGAGATTACCGTCTTCGATGCCAGTATCAGTATTGTGGCTGTCAAAGCTTCTCCGCAGGATTCGAGTCTTGGTACTGGCTTCAACGCGTATATCCAGTAGCCTCGTGTGCGGCACCAAGTGTGACAAGGTCGTCACCGGAGCGGCGTCTCTCATTCCGGTAATCAAGAGTACGTCCACATTGCCAGCGTTGTGCACAGCACTGAGAAAGTTTTCGACTGGTAGTCCAGGTCTCTTTCGCACCTGACCCTGGAAGAATGCTGTCAATGCCGGTCGGTGCTGTTCCTTGTAGATACGATCTCCAAGGAGGCGGTCCAGATCTGCGCCCGTAGCCGCCGCATACTGGCGCTTGATTTTGTTGCTGATGCTAACTGATGCACATTTCAGGTTGACGTGGACGCACTGATTGAGAAAGGCAACCCATATTTCTGCGCAATAGTCTTTGCCGGCACCACTGTCGCCAGTGACTAGAATGACAAGCTTTGGTCCTATTGGCAGTTTTGGTAGCGGACATGCATAGGCCAGCACGTTACAAGGATCGCAATTCTCTTTGAGATGAGCCAGTCGCGGTCGATTTGGGCCAAAGGCCTTGTTCGCCAGTTCGAGGTCTCTTGGATCTGGACCAAGGTCTGCGCCATAGAAACCGCTGCTCAACGATGAAAGACTTGTTGCGACATTATATACCCATTGCTTGATGGAGCGAGAAATGACGGTGCCGTCTTGTTCGCGTGGCCAGACACCAGTGATTACGCATGCAAAGTCCCAATCTCGACAGCCAAAAGCTGTAGAAGTGGCTGCCACATCGCTCACCGCTCCACCACCCTGAAGCAGGTGGATGTAGCATAAGGGTGAAGGGCGAGTCTGGATAGCTGACATGACCACATTCGCGACCTTTGCCGCCCCAATGTTCCTTATGAATGCACAGCGCTTGAAGGACGAGGTTTTCCCCCCGCCATGCCCCCCATGCATACCGGAAATGTACATCTCCGTGTCAAAGACATCGACGCTGTCCACGATTTTGACGCATTCTTCCGGTCCCAAGACTTTTTCCAAATCAATATGATCCGGAGTCTCAGATCCGGCCAGGAACGATTGATACAACGTGACACCAACTAGCAGCATTCCTTCATCTCCAAAGATGTAGGCATCTACTGAAGAGTCTCGCCCCAGCTTCTGAGCAATTTGCTTGTCGAAATCGGCCAGAAAAACAACTGGATTTGCCATGTTTGGAACAGGAACTTTCCAATTTCGAACCAGAAAGTTCCGAGCCGGTTGTGCCTTCAAAGTGACGCTAGTTACAACACCAAAGTTTGTGCCTGCACCTTTTATTGCCCAGAGTAGATCGGCCTCGTTATCTGGACGTACTGATCCAGCTGGTCGATAGGCCCTTGGGACATGACCGACATGAAGAACCTGACCAGAATCAACACTCACCAGGACGGCGCCAATGATTGCATCGCACGTCAGGCCGTGTATCCGAGATAAGTGTCCAATGCCACCTTGAAGCCATAATCCGGCGCCAACGCTTGGGCGAGCACCCAGCGGAACAGTCAATCCCGATGCCATGGACTTGCGTATGACGTCTCCCGTATTACAGCCGGCCTCGGCAATGATCAAGTGGTCCAAAGGAAGAGGTCCATTTGCTCCTTCTTCTTCTCCTGGTTCTTCGAGAATATGAACTTGGTCAAACGCGCCCATGTCGATGGCAACTACATTAGACCACAGACACTGGCCGCTGTGACCCCCACCAATGATGGTGAGGCCAACTTGGTGGTCCAGAGCCCATTCAACACAATGTTGTAGCTGTCGGATTCCTGTTGGTCTTACGATGGCAGCAGGACTATGAAGCCGTGCGTCCCGGTTCTTGACTGTCTTTTGCTCCTGGAATACCAGTCCCTCTGATTTGAGAAACTCGAGACTTGTCGAATCTCGGGTAAAAGCCACAATTTCTTGTGGCGCGCTGAATTTGAGATGGTTGAGATGGTCTTTGTCAAGACGGCCCAGGGTGCGGCACACGATACGCCAATGATCGCGGACATTCTTGTCAGCTGCGGCGTCCTCGATCGCAAAGCCGGCGATGAAAGCGCTGAACGAGTCTAACGACACGTCGTCATTTTCCACGTAAACGCAACCGCTAGGGAGAGAAATCGTTCGATAGCAGACCAAGCCGTCTAGATGCAACGTCGCCTCGCGGTGGATGATTACAACCAAACCTCCTGGTGCATCATGCGCAAGCAATTCTAGCGCTCGTTCAACAAAACTACGCTTGGGATTCATGCCATACATGCTGTGGCAGAACAGAACAAGGTCAAAGCCTTGGTCTTGGTCATCTTCATGCGGTGGAGTACTGCTTTCTGCATGGCGGCCCATTTCGAATGGTGCTCGGTGAATGATGGGTTCGCTTCGAAGTCGAGGCAGCGGGCACTCCCCTCCGCGGCAGTCGGAGAGCCATGCTTCCAGTCGTGTAGCGTGCAAGGTATTTGGCTCAAATGCAGTATATCTCTTGATCCTGGATCTCATCTCCTGTGAAAGGTGGCCGAGTACACTCTTTGGGCCAGGACCAATCTCCAAGACGGAGATTCCGGTACGTGAACCAAAGAGAGGGCCCAGCAGTTGGGACAGCTGGGCCATAAAGCTCTCGTCTGTGGCCCACTCTGGGTCCCGCGCCAAAAGCTCAAAGCCAGTGGCATACTGATACTCGGACAAGACCTGCCTCGGTAAGGGCGTGATGCTGTCAGCTTTCAGCCAGAGGGCCTTTTTGAGTTCGTTGAGGGTAGCCATATGATTTCAAGGTGCAAGCAGCAAAACAATTGAGAATTAGCAAAACTTGACTGGCTCAGACAGGCTGCCAAGATATGGACAAATTGCAAGCGTATGGAGTGTAGATGTGACAAATGATTTATCACAAGTCATGAAAGTGGATTGCGGCTCAAGTTCAAGGTGATTGCTAGTATTTGTAGGCTCACTGCCAGAGAGCGACGTGGTTAGACCTGATTTAGGCACACACAAGACCTTTGACAGGGAGTAAAAGTTGAATCAGGCATCAACTGCTATCAATTGCCATTCTCCTTTTTCATGCAACCCTCATTTGCTCTTTCATGCTGGCCAAGGTGGGTATAGTGCCGATGATTTCGTGTTTCTGCATGCACCCTGCCACAGGCAACACGATGCCTACCGCATCTGAATGCTGACTCTTATTGATATTTGCCTGTTTGCCTCATCGATCAATGCAGCAAATCAACTCTGGGTGACACCGTGGCAGGGCGCAAAAGTATTTGCCTCGTCTCGTCCTTGTTACACCAGATGTGGGAGGCCACCCAGTCTCGCGGGTCAGCAGGTCAGGATTGGGTACGACAATGCGGGAGTCCAGCTGTCGGTAAAAGAAAGATCTTCAAAGAATCAGGCTCCAGATTTTGATGCCTTGTCAAAATATTTGGATCATGCAGGAGGCCATACAACCATGAATCAGTCTTGCCCAAAGGCTGCCTTTGTGGTGTTGATCTGTTTGCTAACGAGAGGGCGTGTATTTCAATGCTACCAAGGCCGCTTCAAAGGAACATATAACGTTGGATTTCATGGCCTTGTGTTTCCAGGCCTAAAGACATATCATACACAATTCATGACCAACATACCGAGTTCATACACGTTAAACATACGTCATGCCGGCCACCTCCACTTTAGCAATTGGGGCTGCTATCAAGGACACCAACCAATTTGGTGACAGCAATGTAGACAGGAACGGTGAGTCAAGTTCTCCATGAAGCTTGCAGCAGAGAAAGTATTTTAATGTGCTTCTGATTTAGGTCGTAGGCAAAGGGGAGAAGATGCCTCAACACTGCACGGCCAGTCTGTCGTCGGCGCCCAGACTGATATTGAAGCGGCGATTCGTACAATTCTCTCGCACATTGGCGAGGACCCAGATCGCGAGGGTCTGCAAAAGACGCCCGCACGATACGCCAAAGCCCTTCTCCATCTTACCAAAGGGTACACCGAGAGGGTCCAAGACGTGGTCAATGACGCCATCTTCACTGTCGACAACAAGGATTTCGTCATTGTACGCGATATCGATATTTCTAGTACGTGCGAGCATCATTTGCTGCCATTCTTTGGAAAGGTTGGTTCCGTCTCTGTCTCCTTAATGGCTTGGTTGAATCTGGCTCTGACAGGGGGTAAAACGAAACTAGATGCACATTGGATATATTCCCAACGGCCAAGTGCTTGGTCTGTCAAAGCTTGCAAGAATTGCTGAGATATTCTCACGCAGACTACAAATCCAAGAACGGCTCACTAGTCAAGTTGCCACAGCAATAGACGAGCTCCTCAATCCGTTTGGTGTTGCGGTGGTTACGGAATGCACGCACATGTGCATGGTAGCGCGAGGGGTAGAAAAGGCTGGAACATGTACGCTTAACCAGAGTATGACTGGACAATTGAGGGATGATCCGAAGAGACAGGAACAATTCTACAATCTACTCAGATCAGGCCAAAAGGGATAGTCATATTTGAATATCAATTGCTTACAGTACACCGTCCATGTACTGCGTATGAATAGATACTGAGCCACGGCCAATGAATTCAAAGTGCTAAGTCAGAGTCAAGAACATAACTTCGGCGTACTGTGTAATCTCAAAGGTTATTGGAATGAATTATTGTTTCACCTAATTCTATGCCTCAGTGCCCCATGCAGTATACGCTGGCGCGGTTGTACCGTCGCAAGAGTACTGCACAATATAGGGACTGTTCTCAGTGCTAGAGTCCAAAAAGACGGTGCCATCAGGAGCAGTAACACTGAGCTGGAACACGGCATTGCCCTGTCCCTGTCCAAACAAGACCCGGATGGGAAGATATTGGCCCTCGACCAAATCAATCGTAGTGCTGCCGCTTCCAGGTCCGTATCCCTGGTGGAAGGGAACGACCAGGTTGGCATTGGCACGGGTCCAGCCAGCGTAAGCAGTAGAGCCCAACCACAGCGCGGCGATATCGTCCACGCCAGCGAAGCTAAATTTATAGGTTCCGGTGGCGACAGCAAAGAGGTAGCCCTTGTGGTCCAGCGCGAAATAGTCCGAGTAAAAGGTGCTGCTGCTGCCGTAGATACTAATGGCGACACCGCCCGAGGCATCAATGCCACCAATGGTGGAGGTCACACCCTGGACATTCGGGGTCTGGGTCTTGTAGACTTCAGCATAAAAGTTGCTGTACGAGGCATCGTTGTTGTCACCCTGGCTGTTGTAGTACTCGGCCCACTGCAGACCTTGGTTCTAATGAAGCGAAGTGAGTTAGTTTCTTGTTCCCCGTTCGCTTGTACAGAAACAAATTTGCATCCCAGAAAGATTTCCCAAGACAAGATGTGGGACCGGGAAATACGCTCTCGGACCATATGCAAGAGAAAGATGGGCTCTTGATACTTACATCGCAGGACGAGGGTGTCGGGCAAACAATTTCAGTAGACGTCGACGTGGCGGTGACTGTCACGGTAGGCGTCGTCGTCGCTGAAGCAGCAACCTGAACAATACTAGTGGCGGTCGGGGTCACGGTCACTGTGGATGTGACAGTCGTGCTTGGAGTAGGGATCGACAAGCAACTGCAGGCGGTTGAGATCTGGGCGCTAGCAAATGTCGCGACGCACGACGGCAACGCAGTGGACTTGGAAGTCGAGACAGAGGTGGTGCTGGACTTGGTGGTGGTGGTTGTCTTTTGACCACGCTTTTGCACTGCGGACAGAATGCATGTCGTGATGGTTTCAGAACTAATGGTTTATTAGCACCCAATCTCAACTCTCAACAGGGGGGTTGTGATCTCACGCAGTCTCTGTGACAGTCACGGCAGGAGCAGTGCTTGTGTCGGTTCCAGTGGTTGTCGTAGTGGTCTCGGTGGGAAAGACTGTCGAAGTTGCAGTGGCCGTACTGGTAATGGTAGGAATTGACAAATACGAGCTACAAAAGGGAGTCGCCGATGAGTACGTTGCCAAGGCCTTGACAACTGCATTCACAACAAGACATTCAACCTGCGAAATGAGGTTCACCGGAGTCGCGTTTACCGCGACACCTGCCGCCGCGAGGAATGCTGTTGCAACGCGAAAATGCATCTTGAGAGGTTTGCCTGGATTCGGTCGTGGGTATCTTGACTATTTGTCTTGAGGATGGTTGTAGGAACAATGGGAAGGGGCAATCATTACTCTATTTATCTTGTAGAGGAGATGGTCGGATTACCGTCTCAAATATTGCTGTGCTCTTTTTTCAATCGTCCTCGTGAGTATAGACCGATCGAGGCCGTCAATAGTCGACGTTGTTCTTGTGAGAATTGTCATCTTGGGAACAACTCCGTCTGGTGGCTGGCTTAGACGGCGCTTCCGCCAGCGCAGAAAAGTCTCTTCAATCTACTACGAGGGACGGGCCTTCATCAGACTAGAAGCACCTATGCAGAACGTCAAGGGTCGAATTCAGCTCCAAGAACACTGTCGGCTGGCATTATCCCCATATATCAGCTGCAATCGTCGGGACTTGCGGAAATAGATCGACGTTGGAAAAGCCGTTAAAGTCCGATTTCAGCCAAATAAGCCGCAAATGAACCCGCCCAGACCATTTGTAAAACTAATAGCGCCGTGGTCGAGATGCATACAGGAACCCGGGAAAAGCCTAGCTTGAGTTGATGTGGAGTAGCTGAAGAGAGGAAAAAGCTGGGGAAGCAGCTAGCTGAAAGCAAAGCCAGGGGTAATAATGCATTATACAGCTGAGATGGACCCTTGCCAAGCAGCGGTGGAAAGCCTTTCTAGCCCCCACAACGAAAACCTATCGTATACTGTCGAATGGCTTGATTCGAGAGCGTATCTATTTCCATTCATTGTACCCAAGAAACAAATTGAACACATCTGTGCTTTGAGAGCCTTTGCATTGGGTGGACTGACATATACAGCGCTGATTCTTAATTGATCTGATATTGTGGCAGCGATCGATCTCCCCTGAATTGGTGTCAGAGTACCAGAACCATTCGCGACTTTGTTAAAAGATTGAAAACGGGCAATATCTCATGAAATCATTTCTATTCTCATTCCTATGGGTAACCCATCTTGGAACTGCATATACCTGCCTGTCTTCTCTTATAGACTGGGTCGGGTATTCCCAATCACTAAAATGAGTTGTTAGGAAAACGGACATAATGCCGAAGAGTCTTTTTCACTATCTCAGGGATAATCAAACTACTCCACAGGTACAAGTTTCTACGGACAACCCCTTCACTACCGAAACTATAGGATTGATTATTTAGTCGAACAAAACATCATTCTTTGGCTGTGATGAGAAGGGCATCGCGGGTAGTCTGAATGAGATCTTTGATCTTAAGACAGATCTGCTGTGCGCTTAATTCCCACCCCATCGCCTCACCTACAAAAATGCTAGCGTGGATACCATTCACATCACAATAAATCTGGATAGAGTTCCCTTTGATAGCCCGCATCTCCGTGGCCCATGCGGCAATATCTGCCCCCAATGCCTCAAATTCACCAAACGTAGCAAGAATCGGCACAGATGTTGAAAATGGATGCCCAAGAAGTGTATATATGGCATGTCAGATTCCCTGATACCTTCGGGTGGTTGATAAGTTTTACTCCCCCACTGATGAAATGATTCTGCAACGTATTCCGCGCTGTAGTCCGCCGGTAGTCTGGTGCAGCTGTCTCTAAGGGGGCAACCCATGACGAGAGGGCCGCAGCACACAGAGGTCGGCTGATTTATGGCCTCATATGCTCAATGTATTTCAAAAAGGCAATGACAAGATTTGCCTCAGAACTGTTTCCAACCACGACTACTGAACTTGAAGGGATCTCGAGGGTCCGCAAGAGGTAAAGGTAGGCAGTGACTATATCTTGGAGGGCAGCTGGAAAGGGATCTCTGCCGCCGTAGCCTGAGAGGCGATACTGAACGCTGAACACCGAGTCCACTCCTGCATTCTGCAAGAGGTAATTCTCAGGGCGCCCGCGGGTATCGCTGCGGCCGTAATTTATTTTCAAAAATAAAAAAAAAATATATATAATTTTTTATTATAATTATAATAAATTAATTTAGCATATTCATTTTAAAATAATTTGCTTAAACGATTAAAGCTATATTTTTAATTCGTATTAAATGGCCTGAGATTAAAAGGCGACTCGCGTATTGGCACCTATTACCCTGGGTGGGATTGGACCCAGTTTTGTGATCATACAGACGCTAGCAAAGAGTCACACAGCATGCGCGCACAGCCTTGATGTACATACCACAAGACGCTCGAGATACCGAATACAATCCATGCAACCTAAGGGTCGTTTTGATTAATTGACTGCGCGGTACTTTTGTGCGCGCAACTGCCCGTCCCCAGCAATATCGAGACCTGGGGATCACCATCTACCCGCGTCCCCCCGAACTTGACCTGCCCCGGCAACACCTGGGCAGACTAATCGCAGCGAGATCGCATGACGGACAATTCTTGATAATCGAGCAGACGATTATTAAGCATACGATCAATCCAGCAAGCACAGACTGCCAAAAGGTAGAGATTTGAGCAAAAGCCATAGCGGAATCCCGTGTAAGTGGGGAACATCAGTAGCCGGGAACAAGAAGACCAAGTCATCGCGATACCAAAGGTCACATTCAATAAAGACAACTGTGCCGCTTCCTGGCCGTGCCAATGCATTCCAGGCGGACCGCTGTGCCACGGCAACCTTATCCGAGCTCGCCGCCTCTTTTCCGATTGGGTTGGCGGCATACACAGTACGGTCTCGGTGCGCTCCGTGGTGACGTTTGGGGCTCCATATGCAATCAAGTACGCGAAAGTGATTGGTTGCCAGGGGACGGCTGAATCGTTGCAGCAGCAATATTTTGGGGTACACTTGTCTACATCACGAAGGGGCGGCGACGCTGTCCATCGCTTCACCTGCACTAACCTAAAGTCCCAGTGTCTAGAAATCGGAGGTCTTCAGCGATACCGGATTGGCTGGAGTGGGCAACATGAACCGCTTCGCCCATTGATCGGCGAACCTCTTCCAAGTATAGGATCTCGCGACTCTTTCGATATGTGCGAATGAGGCCGGAGGTTGTGGCTGGCCGGGTGGCGCACCGTGTGGTAAGCCACAAGCTGGCCAATAAGAGGCCAGCCAATGATAGGCCGCCCTGGGGCCACGCATCAGATATCTACTATATTTTTGCCCAGTCGGTTTCGTCGGATAAGGACTAACTGGTACTTCTGGGTCAATGTTTCTCCTTCTTTTGCATACGGAAACCGACGGAAACCCAATGAATTTGGTCAGTGGAGCTCTAAAGTGCAAGCAAGAGTTCGTTTTAACCATTTTTAAACATGACACTATACAGAGATTCCGCTGAAATATATGAGCAAATCAACCACTGATCAGACCAAACAACTCGACCACGGAAATTTTTATTTCGAAGAGACCGTATCGCATGGAAGGAATCGTAGACTCCAATTCCAGCAACAATGAGTCATATTCAGACCCCATATGTGACCATATCAATATCGTTTACTAAATGTCATCAAAAGGCATGGAAGCAGTCCACGCACTCAGCGTATAAGGTACCTGACCTATACTAAAAGTGGCATAAAATAACGGCTATAATATTGTACTGCGAACCTACTTACTTACATTAATTTCGTTACCTTTGGCGCCTCTCATTTCCATTGTATATCTCACTTCCAACGAAAGGTTTATCGATATTTAATATAAATTCATCATCTGAATTGCACGCTCATCTAATATAACCCTTTTTGAGTAAATAACAAGCAAAGGCAACACTTTGCGAGGAAAATAATATATAAAGATTGCAATATGCACGTCAAGGCGTACAATCTCCGTGTTGCCCACTTGGCAAAAGTTCCTGTAATATTAAGGCTGCTTTGTATACCGAGATCACTACATATAACCAGCTAAAACATTATTAAACGGTCGTTAACCAAAAAGGCCTTACATTCAAAAGTGAAATTACTGGTACTTGGCTCCGCGCACACTAGCACGGGATCGAGGGGCATTTGCCAATACCATTTGTTCGGCCGCAAGAAATGAAAAGGATAAATAACATAATGAAATAAGAAAATCACCACCGTTTGTTCAAGAGGCGTCTCAAAGTCTCACTCGCAACCAATGGGATTCTTCACGCCGAGTTGCTTATGCATGGTATTTTTGCGCGGGGAAGACTATATGAGCCGCCAACAGCGTGTAATTTGATTGCAGGAAAAATCAGCATTGTGACCTGTTGTGTCTGGAATGTTGTAGCCTCACTTATGCGTCTCAACTCAACTACAACTCGATATCGGCGTATAAGTATCGTGTCTTGCCCAGCTCCGGGACGACTCTTTCTCAAATTGTCAATTCCACACAGCAGGATCACTTGAACGTCTCCAATTCATCAACACCAAAAAGATCAAAATGCTTATCTCCACTATGCGCTCCACTACCCTTCTCCTCAGCCTCGTGTATGTGTGCGGTTTAGCACTTGGCGGTCCGGCTGCATCCCTTCCCAACCACCATCCGATTGGACCCAAGAGCATTGAGAAACGTTCATTTGCATCAAGCTGCAGCAACTGCCAAATCACCTACAACTCAGTCTTGAATTGCAATTGTAGGAACAATGCAGGACAAACTGTTCTAGCACAACTCGATCTCAATGGATGCCTGACCAACGATGCATGTTGGCTAAAATGGCACTCTGGGTAAGTGAGCTGAAATTCTGAGTTGCAAGGTGGATGAATACTGACTTTTCTTTCCATTTGATAGGAGTGCCTTTCGGACGTGCTCTAACACGAAGATTGTGGATGGCTACACGCTGACATCCGATTGTAAAGCTGGTGACGGGGCTGTTTGCCACAATAGAATTGGCTTAGGTAGGTGCAGTTTCCAATATAAGCAACCTCGAGAAAGTCAACTTATACTGATTTACTTTTTTGTAGATCCTAATATTGACAACCAGAATGGCAACTTAGTCTGCCATAGTTGAGAGCTATTTGACCGTCTCTTAGTCAGAGAAGGTCATGACCTGTGATTTCGATATCGCCGGATGCGCGCGGTGTATGGGTATGAATAAGTAGTTGGAAATAGTCTGGCTTTATTACACTGACGTAGGTACCTTTCGCGGGTCACTTGCTCGGGCATATACTTCGCTCTTCAGCACTTCTCTTTGGTAGATCAGACAAATCAATACACATACTTTCCTTTCGCTTAATCGATTAACTATTCTAAATTTTATTTTCTATTATATTCTAAAATCTCAAGGTCTGGTTTGTTTGAGAAGTATGCCGTAGCGCCTACTGGAATCCGGTCATTCTCGATATAAAGGACTTTGTCAGCGCCTACAGAGATGCCAATGACACAATATCCATCTTTCTTTGTCCAGAAAGGAAAAGCCGCAATAGATCTCTCCCCATCTAACAGTTGGGATATGAGTGTTAGGTGCTAGGCACCACGCTAGGTACTAGTACCTAATTTCCCCCGCAGCCACTGTAGCTTTCCGCCCTCTTCTCTTTATCACCTTTTGCTACACTTGCCACACATAGATTGATGATCATCAGAGCCTGATAATCCACAGTCTCGTGGCCGTAGCTAGTTGACATAATCATCTTCCATCAAAAACCTTCTTCTCCGTCGTTTTCCGTGAAGTACCAGTACGAATCAGCAAGGCTCTGGCCTTACATTGTATGCAACGGTGCATATTTGTAAGAAAGAGGCTGCGGGAGTTTCTTTTGTTGATAACTTAGGTAATTGATTATCAGTCACAAAGATACTTTGAATATGAGAGATGTTAAATCAGGGAGTGTGCATTCAGTGTTTGCTAAATATATGAACATGTCGCGGTTTCAATATGGGGGTTTCGTTCAATTGGTCTGTGACATCTTTCGGCTATCAGGATACAAAGACCACTCTTTGGGGCCATTTAGGTACCTGGATATAAAAGACTCGCATTCACACTACAAATCTACAGCTAAGCACAAACTAGCTGTCAGGTTTACAGAGTTCGACCAATGGAAGCCCAAATGCTTGTGCTCTATCTGGATATATGCCTCAAGATGGTGGTAAAGGAGGAGGGCTAGGCAAAGTAAGCCCAGCGTCAATAGGCAAAGCGGTGCCGTTAATAAAGCTACCGGATGGACTGGACACGAAGACAATATAGTCGGCCACTTCATCAACAGTGGCGGCCCGATTCAGAGGTGTGATATTTGAAATAGCATATTTGAGCATTGGGTTCTTTTCGGCGGCGACCTGAACCATGGGCGTGTCTACCCAGGCAGGGCAGACAGCATTGACGCGAATGGCGCTCTTGAGGGCCAAAGCATCGACAGCTAGAGAAAATATGGTTAGTGTTTGCTTTGGCATGAAAACCTCACACGCAGTCTGCGGCTTACCTGCAGACCGCATAATGCCAATAACGGCATGCTTTGCTGTAGTGTAGCCAATCATTCCCGGTGCGCCAATGAGCGAGTTTGTGGAGCCCAAGAGGACGATAGAGCCCCTGCCAAGGCTCCGCGTACCGTGACGACCGGTATACGTGAGCGGCTCTTGTTGGGCCATTGCAGCTGTTACAGCGCGAACAAATCGTACTGCACCCGCAATGTTCGTGTCACTGATCTTGGAGAAGGCATCCAGGTCGACAGCCGGAGTGAAAGACGAATAATTCTCTAGATCAATCTTATCGGAGGCAGTTGTCAGTTTTTTTTTTTTTTTATAGTTTTTTTTTAAACTTATCAAATAGAGTGTTGGAGAGCGAGGCTTACGCCTGCACTATTGACGGCATAGTCAATGCGTTCAAAATCTTTCACAGCTGAAGCAACCAAATCTTGCACGCTCTTGGCGTCCGTCACGTCGACTTTGATAGCAAGTGCTCGATAGCCAGCATGCTTGGCATACTGGCGGCTCTCTTCGGCGGCCGCTCTCGCGCCCTCGTCATTGATATCTGCAAAAACGACTCCCTTGGCGCCGGCTTCAGCAAAGGCAATTGCTGTCTCTTTGCCTATACCGCTTGCGGCCTTGAAAGGAATGTCAGCGAGGTCCTTGGCAGTTTATAGGAATTATTCGCTTGCTTACGCCAGTCACAAGGGCGATACCGCCGTCGAGAGTCAATTTGGATGCCATTGGGGATGATAGAGGACTTGATATGGCGAGTTCAGGCAAGTAAAGCGAGTGTTTGGAACTTGATGATGACTCAACAAGGCAGATAGAACGATAAATATATGCTGCACGTTATTTCAAAGGATCGTATTTTGCGTCACTGTTTGTTGAAATTGACTGCATTTTCTCAACAAAGCCTAGCGGCTCTTACACCCTTGTTTCAGTATGCAATTGGAAGTATTGCATCATGTCAAATGTGCTGTGCTACTGTAGGGTGTACTTGGTACCCTTCAACTGGCACAAATGCTGCATGCAGGCCTCACCTTTTCGGGGAGGGGGCGGACCTATTAAAACACGCGTTTGGAGATCTACATGTTTATGCCTATTTATTTCCTCTGCATCTGTTCAAGTGCATACTATGGCTTCCATGTTGATCATCTTGGATATCACGTATAGTGTCGACATTGATGCATGCTTGGTTCTTTTTCGATTGTGCAGGCAGCCAATAGGCCGTGACGATGCAGGTCGGCCGTTGGATGCAAGTCGGCCGTTGGATGCAGGTTCGGCCCGCCGAGAAACCGTCACAGTGCGGGCTGCAAGCTAGACGCCCAACTTCTAAGCCAGTCACATCATAGTAATGTGTACAGAGTATACAGTGCCAATGGTTTCCGCCCCAACCAATCAACTCCAAATCAGCCCCTTCGCAAAATCCTGTGATTATTCCCGGGGGATTGGGTGGTACTGGAGCTGGGGCCGATGGGGACCGGTCCGGATCTGCATTTGTGCGGTTCAGCGTCTAACAATGGTGAATGATTGTATGCATTCCAATGAGTCGGCAGCGCAAATGCGGAGGAGTGCTTCCCGTCCATGAAAACCAACTTCCCTCTGTTATTCTCTAGCGTCCTGCAGATCTCCCCGAGAGGGAAGTGGAGACTGGCGGGCAAAGATGTGTAGGGCTGTGCTTGGGGTATCGGAACGAGCAAACAATCGAAATAATGGTAGCTATCGATCGGCAATTGTGTCGGGTGTCAGCAACAGGGTATATTTTGGACCCTGCAAATGGCAATCATTGCAATGTTGCTTACAAAGAAATCTGAGTTAATTTTATCGAGCTACAACATAGAGGTGACGAAGAGCTATCTCAAATACCCAGGTAGGCGACCTGTAATGGGCACTATCTACAGCACCATGACATACTTGTCCAACTTTGAAACATCAGACATTTTCTCTCGCCATGGTCTCCATAGGAGGCAAGGTGTCGAAAGTAGACTTTTGATGCATGTTTGAATGATTGCGATTCTCCCTGACATATCCCGAGTCCTTTTGCTCGTTCGTAGACAATCGTCTCCAGGTCGTCAGCCGTCGGAAAGAGGTCAACCACTGGGGACGGGTGACGCTCTGTATGAATGCAGGGAGAGCTGGCATACATGCCACAATCATGCCAAAATCCATTTCAACGAGAGCCCAGATCCCTGTTAGCCAAGTATACCATGAGGTATCGTCAGATTTCGCAAGTTGCACCGTGTAATAGAGACGGATGGTCGCAGATGCGATTGCCCTGTTGCGTCATGGTCAGCATGGCGAGCACATCGGAGGCAGGGGAATACCAACAAGACGGCAACTAGGAAAATTATTGAGACGCCCAGCTTTTGCTTCTGGGGTAAGTGGAGGCGCCAAATGACTGCCTGCGGTAACAGTAGAATAATTGTATCTGACGCAACATTGACGGAACTGGCTGCAACGTTGAGGGCTAGAACATCAAGACAGTGACCTTCGGTAATGAGTATATTCCATGACTTCTCCATTGGTGTACAGACCCAGATTTGAAATCCTAAAAGTATCACATAAGCGGCCAAGTTGACAACAATGGTGGCAATTGTCGTCCAATATAGAGCTGGAGGATGTTTATTTGGCATAAAGACTTGGATGTATTGCCCCAGAATTGAAAGCTTAATCATGAAGATAGTTGGCGCGTATAGAATCGAGGCAATGCGAACATCCTAATAGTTGGTTAGGCCTGATTGTATGCAATGATATACTGCCATAGACTAGAACAGGAACGACTGACGTAGAGAAACTGGATGAGATCTTTCGCGCGTACGTTCCAGACGTGTAAACCAGGTGCGGCGTCAGCAGACCGAAGGCACATGGCGCAAAATCCCAAGAACGCCCCCTAGAATACATTAGTCCAACACTGAGACATTGAAGCTGAAATGTCCTACATATCCAAGTAACAGCGACCCTGTCCGTCGCCTCGGTTAGCATATAAGAGGCGTCGAGCACGCGCTTCAATGGATGAGACTTACAATCTGGAACCCCAAAGTTCCGAGTGATGAAAGCTCTAGAATAAGTTCGCATAGCAACCGTCAATGTCGCCAGGCATATAGAAACGGTAACCAGAACGATTGTTGCGGTCCTCTGATTTGGTGGATTGTCCAGTTGGACAACAACTCCAGGAGGCGGGCTCACCAGCGGCGCTTCCAGGATCGCAGTTAGATTAGTAGCCATGGTTTCCTGAATACAAGCCGGCGCAAAGCCCCTTTGATTGAAACACTATCCGAACACGAGGTGAAATACCGATTGATTGCGATGAAGGGGCAGCGGGATGCACAGAAAAGAATACAGCGAGTATGGTAAAGAAGATTGATTGAATCGTTAATTGTAGAAGGCAGTACACGCTAGATATGTGACCTTTTCTTGATCCCCACCACCCTGGGTACCTATTTTAGCCAGGGCCATAGCGCGCGGCTCAGGTGCAGCTAGCTGCTCGTCTTGCAGCCGCCGACTACTACCGTATTTTCAACAGAAAATGCATGCGCATGTCATAGATGCTGAGGAATCCAACATACATCTTTAACCTAGGCTAGATACATGGTCGTCCCACTGCCCTACCATTGTAGGATCATCTTTAACCCTCTTTCCTTTTTTCTTTTTCAAGGCGTTACATTGGCGACTTTCACGATTTAAGCAGCTTTTTGTTAACTGCAGCAATTTGAAGTGAAATTAGTAACGAGGTATTTAGTTCAATAGAAACCACCTTTTAGCATTAAGTTCACGCAGGTCATAATGGTACAACCAGCGTAGCGCCATCTCATTTGACTAATACCACGCAACCCTTAGAATAGCCTCACTTATTTGATTTCAACATGAACAGGAGGACTCTCGTGCATTCGCATATGGAGAATCCAGGCAGTCCGATGTCCCTCCCCAGGTCCGACTGGTATTGAGTTGAATTTTTGGTAAGCACAACACCGTTGGATGCGACGTCAGTGAGGATGTGTTATGTAAGGGGTGTCGGCGGGGTTCCATGCTAGGGTATTGTTCTTCGTCCTATTAATAGGTAGCCTTGCCGTGGGAGAATCCAGACGGGCTGGCGAGTGAGATCACTCGGCCTGGAGTGAGACTCAAGCAGCGCAAAACATTTTCGGTACGTGGCCGCTGGTGACTTGGCCAACCAGATCACATTGCTACGGACGCAATATCTGGGTCTTGTCTGCACGGCAATACTACCTACCACACGTGCCAAGATTGCACACAGTGCGGAGTATCAAGAGCCCAGTCGACCCCAGTGAGGGCTCCGGGATCAACACCACACCTGCGGCCAACGGACGGCCCCCCAATTTATGCGAGTCACCAACAATCCAAACAAACAACTAACGGATTATTACCAGATTTGTTTCCACGATCGCAAGGTTAGGAGAAGCTGCCTTGCATGGAGTCTAGAGTACTCATCCTCCCCTTCTCCCGCCCACGCATCTGACTGTCTCATCATCTTCAACCTACTGGTGTGCGTCCCTACCATGTCAGCCAATCCATTATCAAGTGTTGAGCAGCGTGCTGATGACCTTCCGGGCAGCAAGGCCCAGCGAGATGATGTTGGGGCCACGAGCGCCGAACACGAGAAGAGACAAGACTACCTCCAAGGAGCGAAACTACGTCTAATCACTGCAGCGTATGTAGTTTTGAGTATTCCGCAGTTTCGTGGCGCTTAGACTAATTCCTTGCCAGTATCTGCATGGTTCTTTTCCTATCGAATCTCGAAATTCCCGTCGTGACGACTGCATTGGTTGGAATATCTGATGAACTTCAAGGTTTTAAAAAGGCAAGCTGGGTGTCAACCTCGTATGATATTAACTCAGAGCTGTTTTGAATATAGGTCATAACCCTTTTAATCATCGCTGGGTTGAGATGGATCACATTCCTTCTTTGGGAGCGGCATATCACTTTGCGGGCAAAGCCTCAGGAGCCAGTGTTCCCCTGGCGCTTCGCGCAAAACCGCGAGTTTATGGGTACACTACTGTGAGTACATACTACCCAATTCCAAACCTGCTCGGACATTGACACCAATTGCCTAAGGTGCTCCATGTTCCTCGGTGGGCCCTGGATCTGCGCAGTATTCCAGTTGCCCCAAAGATTTCAAGTCGTTAATGGCCTGACCCCAATTGATGCGGGAATTCACTTCATGCCTTTCACTTTGGCGGCTCCAGTTGGATCTGTGATTACTGGCATTTTGGCGCAGAGTGCCAAGATACCTCCTCTATACATGGTCCTTTTCGCAGCAGTACTGCAGGTCATAGGATTTGCCTTACTTTCTACACTTCCGGTCTCACAATCAGTAGCTCCTGCACAGTATGGATATCAAGTAATCGCAGGGCTTGGATGCGGGACAACAATTTCATTACTCACCCTATTGACTCCTTTCAGCGTCCAAGAACGTGACAAAGGTATGTATCCCGCTCTTCAGGTTCCAGTCATTCAGAGTCCGGTCTAACTAGTCACACATGAAGCGGTGGCTATGGGATCTGTTGCACAATATCGAATCATTGGAGGAGCAGTTGGTCTCGCCATTGTTACTGCGGGCTTCAATGGATTAGTCAGAAGTCGGTTGGGCAACGTGCTACCTCCCAGCCAAGTTGACAGTCTTCTGACGGCACCACCCTCCCTCGAGGCTTTCCCGGAGGCTATCCAAGGAACGATTCGAGCCGCCTTTGGAGACGGTTACAATTTGCAATTGAAGATTTTGGCAGGGCTGGCCGCTGGTCAGATTCCATCTGCGCTGATGATGTGGAGGAAACAGCAGATCGTCACTTAACGATGTTAATTAGCCATACAAGAGAATAATGGCAGTCGCAGAAAGCAGAGAGTTCAGCTCTACATAGGATAACTAGGCATATTGGATTCTAAGCATTGCTATTGTTTACGCGTTTATCATATTCAAAGCTCCTATGAACTTCCGTGACATCCTTAACTAAAACACACCCATGGCTTCTAATTCTTGATAAAAAACAACTAGCACATATATAATGGTAGTCCATTACATCATTGATTTCTAAGATACTGCCCCTTCGCATATCGGCTCAGGTGAGAATATGCTTAGAAATATTGCATCAAAAACATTAATTGGCGATATAATAATGTCCAGTCAAATACGACCCAACATTAGGCCCCACTCTAGTCAAAGTCAGCACCCAGTCTCTTCATTTACACGATTCCTTTATCTTCCGTGTAGGTTTGTATGTTTATAGTCACTAAACCATTGAGGCTTCCTAGTACGTAACGTAGTATGGTGGGGATAGCGGTCACTGATACAAGAACAACCAACCCTCTCCGTCGCCGACCCAGATCCACACTCACAGTGGTCTTGCCATTAGGTAAACACCAGCCCATTCTCGAAATCATTTATCCAGTATAGTTACTTCTAAGCTCCGTTTTCTCAACAGCTTCTGTTAACATCTTGTGGCATTAGTGGTTTAGTGGTAAAATCCATCGTTGCCATCGATGGGCCCCGCGTTCGATTCGCGGCTAATGCAACTTATAATTTTGCCTTTTTGTCTCAGGACTCCTTGTCAAGTGAAGAACCTCGAGTATATTTTATCAAAAATTGTCGCACATTATCAGAGATGTGGAAATATATAAAATGAATACATAGCGCGCAGGCGCAGATATCCATAATACACTTTTATTCATTCGACGAATTCAAGCGTCTTGAGTCAATCTTACTACCGGGCCTTCGTACACTTTCCTACCATGGAAAGAGTAGTAGACTATCGCTATAACTGCAACTCCGCCAAACATGACAGACCCATAATTCATGGACTGTGGTATGGGTTGCGCCGTGACTGGAAACATGACAACGACAACGATAGTTGCCATGAAGACAACCGAGACGCCATTCACCGGAATCGTCAATCTGCCCATGTTGAACCGAGTTGGAGGCAAAGCTTGGCGACGGAGTCGTTTCAATAGCACACAACCGATGCTAATCATGTAGGAGAAGGCGCCTGCGCTTGATAGAAGACCCACAGACGCATTGAACGCCGCGGAACTGCCCAAGTTCAACAATGATAGAATGGCCGTTATGAAAAGGGAAGCGAGGATAGAGTTTATGGGTACCGGAACGCCAATGTCATGGACCTGTAGATATTCAGTATCAGTATTCTTGTTGTATGTGCAGCAAAGTCAGAGTATCATATCATCACCTTGTGAAACCATGAAGAAAATGGAAGACCTCCATCGCGGGCAAAAGACCAAGCTTGTCGCGAGGCAGCTGCTTGGACACTGATTGCGGAAAGATAGGTCATGCTGATGCCAATACAGACCAAAGCCGTTGCACCTGACGCGCTTCCAAGACCCAGATAATATACCTGGATGGATATAAACGGCGAAGGATTCTCAAGGACCATGTCAACAATGTCCGTGACACAATACACCTACGACGGGTCAACTGACTTTCCTGTAATACTATACACCCCAAAACCTACAAATGTTATAATTGCCACTAGGCCCATGGCGCCATTCAGGAAAATGGTCAAAAGCATGATGCGCGGCATAGTCCAAGAAGCATCTCTGATTTCCTCAGCCATGTGAGCGACACCATCGACGCCGAAAAAGGACCCTGTCGATGTGATTGAACCAATGATACAAGCGGCACCATTCGAAGACCAGCCACCAAAATTGGCAAATTCAGTAAAGACGTCCGCCGTTGCATTCTTCGGAACTAGCACCCATAGGGGTACTATGGTCTATACTAGCCATCAGTTGGAACGTTCAGATACGGAGATAGATTTCTCTTACTGCGAGGAAACCAAGCACAAAGAGAATCAAAATGACAGATGCTGTCAAGGGCAGCATTCTTGTCAGAAAGATGTTGACCGCAGTGACTGATAGAGCTACGGCCATGGTAAGTAGGGTTTGGTGCCTAGCGGTTCTTTATGTCAGAGTTTGCTTCTTTAGAATTGGTAGTCTCCAATCATTACCAGTTTTGAACCTCATACAGAGGGTTATTCGTCTCGGCAAGCGCCAGTATCAAGCATGACACGGCGTAGCAACAGCTTGCCAGCGCTGCTTGCCATCCAAGGGCAACAAGCCAACCTTGATTGATCATGATCAGCAATGAGACGAAATACAAATATCCGAAACAACTTAGTTATACCAGTAGTGTAACTCAAGATCTTTTGGCATGATCTTGGCGCAAACTCGGAAACCCACTATTCGCCCAATCAGCTTGGAGCTGCGCAAGCGCCTTGGCTATACCTACGTGATACTGACCGGCACTATACGCAAAATTCAGCTTTGAGCCTTGAAGACTTCGCCATGTGACTATAGGGAAGACGCTTGGTACCTCGATGGCGCCATGGATGCCATATCACCCAGTGATGCAGCCACGGGAAACATCATGACCCAAACAAACACATACGACCATATCGTTCCCTGGAAAGTTCATGAGCGTCATCTTTTAATGTTAGATAATCGTCCATATATACCGCAAGGCCACCATTGATCAAAGAATATACCGCCAAGCCGATTACTGACGGCCAGGTAAAGACGTTGATAATCGCAAATCCCAACGTGGAGACTCTCTTGAACGTTCGTTTCAGTTCTTGCCCTTGGCCTAGGCGAGACATGTCCGCGGCGTCATCCTTTGAGCTCTCCAATACCAGGTTCTTGTTGATTGCCATTTCTGTAAGTTGTGCAAACTTTTCAAGCAAAATCGCAATGTAAGCATGAAGTTCGACAAGTTGTGTGACTATAGCATTTCTTGGGACTTGATATATTGGCCTATGCTATACACTATATTTTAGGGGGCATGTCCGCACAGCATCTGGTACAGTATGATGGCGGGGCAGTCGCCCCAATTCCGCCTTAGCGAGATCATGAGGAAGTGCGCTTAGGAACCTCCAATCTACGTCCTATGTATCTACCTAGACATGCTGCAGGTTCCTACCGGTAGACAAATATCTATTCTAAAACCGGAAATTCGCGTGTAGTCATATGATTTGTGAACATTGCATCAAACTTAAAATGTATAAGCATCCCCATCTTGATCTGCCACACAAAATCGAGGGTGCTACCACCCCATATGCATCAAGGGTATACCCAGCCAGCGGATTGGGCAACAATGCGATTTTGCTTAGACTTCTTACATGCACTTGCGATCGCTTGCAATCTGGAATGACGCAGACTATCTTGCCGGTGAAGCAAGGACTTGGTATGGATCCTTCCCCAGACGGCTCGTCTCGACCTATACTGCCCTTCGCTACGGGCAACCTGCACGCTTCTACTGCAGCCGGTGCGATCTGGAAGAGCCAGGGCAAGACTCCGCTGAATCCCAACATTTTTGCCTCAAGGAAACCAGGCCTATGAAAAAGTATTCAGATAAATGTGTAATAATTTAATAACCATCAAGCAGTGCGGCTATGGCATCATTTCTTCAGCTGACATCTGCACAGGCGCCGCTTCAACGCAAGCGACGCCATGTCACACCAATTCGCGCCGCATCTGGTGAGTGCTGAAGATCGGCATGGGGCCGCTTCCTAGCCCTGCGAGCGCATCCGAGAATGCAGCAAAGCATGATTGATTTCTTTCGTCACATCATTGGCGAACTACCATTTTCTGGGCAGGGGAAGCCAACGCCCAAATCCAGCACTTTGCACAAAGTCGCGCCTCGCTTGATCGTGTACCAGATCAGATAAAGGCACTTTGGAAATATCTTGCTTGATTACAATGATATTCCCGTGCCTTGTACTTATTTTTGTCATCCTTTCCCTACCATTCACAAATGCTGCACCTCCGCTATTCGAATCCGAGGAATTCCAATTAACAGCTCAAGAAATCCAAAGCGCCGGCAACTTGTCTCATTTGTTTTCATTTGGAACTCTTCAAGTCACAAAAGCTGAACAAAGACCATGCAAGGTCTATCCAGGTGATGATGAATGGCCTTCATCGCAAGCATGGCAAGCGCTCAACGACATAACAAATGGCCGTCTGCTCCAACCGAGGCCAAAGGCAGCTCCATGCTACAGTGGTTCCGAATACAACAGTACTAGATGCAATGAAATTTCTGAAAAATGGACAGATCCGGCCACTCATTATGATGATCCACTTGAAATGATGGCTCCGATATATCAAGGACTCACTTGCTTGCCGCCCACCATTCTGGATACCAAGACCTGTACCATGGGGGCGTTTCCAGTCCATGTTCTCAATGCAACCAGGCCGGTACACGTTCAGGCTGCTGTCAATTTTGCCCGGAATACTGGCATTCGACTAGTCATTCGGAATACAGGTCACGACTATCTAGGTAAATCCGGCGGTGCTGGATCTCTAAGCATTTGGACCCATCATATGAAGGATATCAAGTATATTCCAGAGTACACAGCCCAAGATGGAACCTACTCGGGACCTGCGTTCAAGGCGGGCGCTGGGGTTCAGGCTTTCGAGCTCTACCAGGCTGCACACGAGAAAGGACGTGTAGTTGTCGGCGGAGACTGTGCGGTAATTTCACAAGGTCGCATATTGTCCAGTTCCTCGCTGACGCATCTCCTAGACAATCGGAATCATGGGTGGATACATTCATGGTGGTGGCCATAGTCCTCTCAGTTCCGTCTATGGGACCGGCTCAGATCAAGTCTTGGCCTTTGAAGTAGTCACATCCGACGGCCGATTCATCACCGCCGACGCTGGACACAACCAAGATCTCTTCTGGGCCCTTCGAGGCGGCGGAGGGAGTACTTTTGGAGTCACCATATCGGTCACTGTCAAGGCTCATCCGGATGTCTACACGACTGTATCCAACTTCTCCTTTAGCTCTGAAATCTTGGGCATTGAACCTTTCTGGAGAGGTGTCAGGTCTTATTTTGACTACTTTGTTGCAAATGCCGATGCTGAGACGTACTCGTACTTTCTCATTCTCCCAGATTACCCACGACAAGGCGTAACAACATTCGATTTGGTCGCTGTAGTTGCCCCAAACAAGACTACACGGGAATTTTTGAAGCTTTTTAATCCATGGTTTACCAGATTGAAGGACCTAGGTATAATGTTTGACCCCAATGTCAAGCACTGGGACTCATACTATGACGCCTGGCTTCACACTTTTCCTGGTGAGTCGGTCGAACAAACTCACTCCGCCATGGGCTCGAGGCTCTTTCCAAGAAACAACTTTGTCGACCCAGTACTGCTCAATCAAACCTTTGAGGCCATTAAAGAATCAGTAGAACAAGGTCGCCAGGTTTACGCATTCAACATGAAGAATACCTCTCCCGATGATACCGACAATGCAGTCAATCCTGCGTGGCGCGAAAACATTCTCTTTGCAATACAATCGTTTAGCTGGCCAGAAAATGCTACAGCGAGGGAAATAATGAATGTACGCAGGCGGTTTACTCACGACCATATGCAAAAGTGGAGAGACATTACACCAGGTGCTGGCAGTTATCTTGCAGAGGCAGATCGTCTCGAGCCCGACTTTCAACGGAGTTTTTACGGGTACAAATATCCGCGTCTCTTGCGCATCAAGCAAAAGTATGATCCAATGGATGTATTTTACGCTGCGACGGCGGTGGGCAGTGAGCGTTGGCGTGTCCGGGTGGACAGCGGTCTCCCAGGCGAAAATGGACCATTGTGTCGAGACGGATCATATGCCACGCTTCGGCAACAATTTCTTCTTTGAGTGGATAGTTACTAATGAAACTGAGTTAATCACGTGGAAATATCTTACATTTTCTGTTCGAGTTGGAAGCCCTGCTACTGCTCGTAACCGGTGTGCATAATGCCTCAGCAGTGGCGCCTGCAACAAGTTACGAATGTGGTAGCTTTGCAAATGATTGCATTGCGATGCAGGTGCTTTTACATACCCGAGCTGCAACTTATCTGCACGAGGCTCAAGTAAAACAAGTCACAATTGGTGCGAATATGAGCGCGGCCAGATCTAGATCTAGATGAAATGACGAGTTTCCCAATCCTGCACGCCGGATGAAGTCGTCATGTGAGAATCGCATCCGGGTACTGGCGGCCTTGGGTGTCGTGCGCCTCAAGGCCGGGATATGCAGCAGCGCACCATACTACTGCTCAGTGCTCACTATAAATCCAGTGCTAGCGCCAACGCAGATTCACTGCCTTACCGTACAGTAGTGGGAAATTGAGGTGGCCAAGAAGTGTTCTTGCCCTTCTGGAAGCGCTAAAGCCCTTCTATAGCAAAATGTTCTTCTCGGACGAAGAGTTCTTCTTAAACCAAAAGTTCTTCTTAGTCCCCTGGAGAGGGCCGCTAAAGGCACTGCTATACAATAGAATCTGAAATAACCGGCTGCATCGTCGTGATCGTTGTAAATCCGTAAATCCGTGATGCCGTAGTCGTAAGCCCGTAAACTTTATTATAATCCCGTAGGTTTTATATTCAAATCGTATTATATTTAAAAAAAAAAGAAAAAAATCGCAAGTTTTCTTTTTGCCAGTGGATGACTTAGTAGATGGCTTAGTGGGTGGTCCCGATGGCTATAGTGGACGTTATAGCGGCCTTACAATAGGGTTTTTAAGAAGAACTCTTAATTTAAAAAGAACTCTTGGATCAAGAAGAACATTTTGCCACAAAAGGCTTCTAGTGTGGGAAAGGCCCTGTAAATTAGCAGGTTTTATTATATACAGAAGACTTCTCAACCCCCCAAAAGCCCCACAGCTGTACTTGGCATTAAAATCACAAAAAAAAAGCCAACCCTCTACCGATATTACTATACACAAACATGGCTGTTGATTCCTTGACGAGTACTCCGGCTAATCACCTTTACAACGTGCGGTTCCCACAAAAACACGAAACAAATGTCCAACAAGACGATGAGTGGTGCGAGCTCTTGACCAAAGATCATGTTCAGCACATTCGCTTTCATGATTACGCCTTCATCTTCAACAACCGCGGACTTTACGAGCAGTTATTTGTCGATCGGTTGAAATGCAGCTCTCACCGCGTCGTAACGGATCTTTTGGGAAAGGAAACACATCGATTACAGGGAGCGCCTCTGCACGCAATGGATCTAGGGGCTGGCAACGGTCTAGTCGGCGCACAGCTTCACCAGCTCGGGGCTTCGCGACTCATTGGCTGCGACATTTTGCCAGAAGCCAAACAAGCTGCCTTGAGAGACCAGCCGGGTATCTATGATGACTACCTCATTTGCGACTTGACCAATCTTTCCGACGAGCATTCCACCTTGCTACACAAGGCCGATATCAATGTCTTGACCATTGTCGGAGCACTGGGGTTCGGGGATATCCCCAAGGAAGCATTCTTGGCTGCCATTGGGTTTGTAAAGAATGGAGGTTTGATTGCATTCAATTTGAAGGACCAATTTTACGGATCCGAAGATCAAAGCGGATTTTCAGAAACTATAAAAGAGTCTGTCGTGAATGGACGATTGGCCATTCTCTCAGAGCAGAAATACTGCCATAGGCTATCCGTCACTGGTCAAGAACTGTATTATTATGCATTTGTTGCCGTGAAGCGCTCATGATAAAGCGAGGGATTCAATTGAATACTTGCTTATTATTTTTTGAACATGACTGGAAGAATCGATTCCCAGACATTTGCTAAAGGGATAAAGTTAATGTAAATGCCAGTCAGTGTTACATTTTACCATGTGGCCATTGGTTAGGTTAGCACCAAGACTGCGCAACACCATAAAATCTTACCTAAAAACAAGACCCCCTGAGAGTGTGTCCTGCAGCAGTTCACAACGCACCCAACATTTTCAAACATGAACAATATGGCAAAGTGCCTAACTTCTACCCAGAAGCATATAATCATGCAAGTTCACGGTGGCTGATAGGCCTAAAAAGTGTTGGTTACCACGCAGCCATTCACAACGATGATAATTCCTAGAGTAGCTTATTGCAGCTACAAAGAATATCTTCCAGGCAATTATCCTTTCAGAACAGCTCAGCCATTGAGACTCAGGCTCCAGTCATGTCTTTGAATGCCCCCATCTCATTCGCTTGCGCACTGTTTGTCACGACTGTCTGGTTCGCCGTTCGATTCCTGGTTCTAGCCTTGATCTACGTACGTTTTGATATAGTCAGATATTCCAAAGAGAAGTTGCGCACACCGGCCCTTGGTCAGGAGCTATCGCGTCATGCGGTTGTCCCATTGAAACTTTTTGATACAACGAAAGAAAACACTGTGTGATTGTCTCACCATCCAATGGCCAATTACGGAAACTTGAAAAGTTTCTCGTTTGATCAAGTGACAGAATTGTATCAATATTCACGACTAGATAGTGTCCAACGTTAATCATAGTCATTTCCATTGATGTTATTCACGCATCTACACTCGCTGAATGTATAAATGTGAGAATAGATCTCCATGCTTGCGAGTTCCTTACAATGGTTTGCCTGTTATTTTTGGAGCACTTGACCAGCTCAGAGATTTACGTTAGCTTCACTACATCTATCACCAAGAATCACCATGAAGGTAGCCACGATCCTTGTTTGCCTTTTATATGGGGTTGCCGCCTTTGAGGATACTGCAGCCTGGAAATCGTCGGCGATACTACCACGAGAAGAAGACATACATTCTGTTCTGACATCACTATCGACATCTCTCGCTTCAGTCAAACACTCTGTCGAAACCTTTACCAGCGATACGACACAATCAAAACCCGACTTGGAAGCCCTGATCAGTACAGTCAACTCAGCTGCAGCTTTGATTGAAAGATCCCCGCAAAATCTTACCCAAGATGAGTTCTTTACCATAAAAGACGCCCTCATTGGACTTCTTCACGAGCTGGATATCAAAAAGGAGCTCTTGGCGCAGTCAGATGCAGAGAATAGCGTTGATGGTGCCAGAGATGGACTTGAAAGACTCAGTGCCGCCATGGCGTCCAGACTGCCAAAGGCCCCAGGCTTACCAAGGGATATTCCTTACAAGAATGTAGATGGTCCAACGGCTCTCAGATATTTAGTGGAAATGGTGTCTGGCAATCTATGGGACTTTCTAGGTGTATTCCAGCCATTCATCAACGGCGACGCAAACACTCAGCCTCAGTTGAATCTTGTCACCAAAGACGCTGACAAACTATTGGTTGGGTTGATTCAAGCCACGTCTGCGATGGAAAAAATCACAGGAAATGTGAGCATGGATGAAGTCGTCAATATAGAAGGAATCTACGTCACAATGTTTAATTCGACAAGGGACAAATTAAACAACACAGAATACATGCCGAATCCACAATTCATCAATCAAGGGCTCTGCACATCTCTCAGCGACATCGAAACGCATTTCGAAAACTTCTTCACCACCACTTACGGAAAGCTTGGTTCATTTGTACTTTTAAATGATGTCTCGGTCTCTGTTTGGCAAAACTTTCTGGCCGGAGTGATCATTTGGTCGAACGATATTAATACCGCTTTCAATGAGTCTGCAGAAAAGTGCAGTGCAGCCAAAGGTGGCACTCCAGCGCCGGGTCTTCCTGGTGTCATTGTCGTAAGCGTCATTGAGACTGTCACGGGCCCATGCCACTGTGCGACTGCCGGGCCGCCCACAAAAACCAGGGATTCTATCAACACCGTCACAAGTACCTTCATGGACGCGGTACCAGGCGATGCGACCGCGCCACCAGGCCCGTCGCCTCCAGCGGCGGGACAAGCTAATACCGTCGTGGTGAGCGTATTTGACACGGTCACAGTTCCTTGTCTCTGTGCAACTAGCTCATTGGCAACTACCACGGATGCTTCAAAGACTAGTACCTCTACCGCTCCGGCTACTGCAGAGAGCGAACAACCGTCTGCCTCAGATCCCAGCGGTGCCATGACCAATGTTGTTGTCCCCTTGGGACTGGTCGCTGGGATGTTTTTCTTGTTTTTCTGATGCTCTAGTCTCCGGCTCATGCTCGAGGAGAGGGGCAAATTTGTCTGAGGCTAAGTTTCGGTTTTCTATATCATACTTCCACCATCTATTTACAGCAAATGCCTACAGCCTAAGACGAAATAATGTCCTAAAATAGAAAGAATATATTTGTATACTCATAGACTAAACCAGAGTTAGTACTGTACGTGAAGTGGCAAGTATTGTATAGATATATAATCCTGACCATGACAATAGTCCAAGTCTTCAAGATTACAGTCAAGCTCATATCATTAACACGAGATGCTGTCGCATGGGCCAATCTGCGAGCACAATGAGTGAAGCAATAAATTGAACGCAGAACTCAGGAACCTCTACTAATGGCTGGCATCTTCCCGATCCACTCATCAGCTTTGCCCTCGGCAGCATCTACCAGCCATCTCGCCAAAAGTGCCCGCTTTATCGACGACGACCAGCCCTTTTCACCAATCCACCCGACAGAGACCTCGCCATCGTCCCTGTCTTTTCTCCAGCTTTCCTCATCGGGCTCGCCGGGTATCTGCGCGATACGAAAGACGGTCCAATCGAGACCAGCAGCGTCTCGATCAAAAGCGTCGGCAAGGTTCAGCATGTTTCGGTAAAGGGTACCAGAAAACAGCCTCATGAAGCAAACCACCATGAATTGAAAGGCAGTCCAATGGTCCTCGGTGCGTTGAATTGACACGGTCCCCATTGCAACGATGCGTCGTACGCCGTGTTGTCGCATAAGGGGAAATATGTAATTCTTGTACATGTCGGCATAGAGTGAAGGATCAATCTTGCGATCGCTGATCTGAGGACCCAAGAGCGACAGGACAGTCGATGAGCGTGACATGGCTGCGGATAGAGTTTCCCGGTCGCTCATTTCACCTTTAACTACCTATATTTATTTAGCCAGGATTATCACTTCTAATGTCAAGGCGAGTCGAGTTGAGGAGAGACATGGTGTAGGTAAGTGAGCGAAAAGGGTGCACAATGGGGAGCACTGGGTAAGTACCTCTAGTAGCGGGTGTTTGGCCAATTCCTCTGGCAGTTTAGCGGGATTGCGGACGTATACAATCGCTGCATGGTTGCCGTGTGCAAGCTCTCGCAATAGACAGATTCCGGCAGGTCCAGTGCCCCCAAAAACAAGAATCTTGTCTCCTGGCATGTTTATGGATGCAATATTCAATATGGCTTCTGATTGCATGACTTTTGAAAGGAAATATTGGGCATTCTGGTACATTATATACCCATTATATACCATGTCATCTCCAGCTTCTTGCCGTACCCGAGCAGAAATGGTTCCCACCCGTGTTATAGTGCTGTTCGCTAGTGCTTTAGCGCACAGAGCCCATCGCGCGCGGGATACAATCTACGCGCGACATAGAAAGAGTGACGAGGACCTTGACCACGGGCATTTTCACACACTAGATCCCGCGCAAATTCCATCGCGCGCGCAATATTGACCAGGATCAGCAAAGCCCCCATGTTTGATTGAAAACTTGAAAACACCAATGCCGAAAAAGAAGCCAGAGAATTGCTGGACTTGCCGGCTGAGACGCAAGAAATGCGACGGAACACAACCAACGTGTCGAGTTTGCGCCAGCCTCGAAATCTCGTGTCATTACAGCGAGACGCAACCAGAGTGGATGGATGGCGGGCCAAGGCAGCAGGCCGAAGCTCAGCGCAGGAAATCAGAGGTCAAATTAAGCGCAGACCGCCGGAGAAAAGAAAAGGTTGTGCGGCGCCTACAATCCGAGTTATTGTCCGATCCAGGCCGAGATGAGTATCATCAGGGTGTTGCGTCTCCCTTGACAACCGGCGCAACGCCAGCCCCGGACAAAGAGTCTCGGGGCTTTACACAATCTTCCTCGGCGTTGGAAGCCACATCCCCAGGCGGCAGCACTTCAAATGTTTGGCTGTCACACCTAAACTGCGACTATGACATTGGCTTGGTAGTTGCTTTCCTTGACCATGTTTTCCCCTTATTGTCTCCATTCTACCAGCCCTCTGTACTAGAAGGCGGCCGCATGTGGCTTTTGGCAGTAATCATGAGAGACAAGGTTTTTCGTCTACACACAAATGCCATAACATCGTACCTGCTGTCTGTCATTCCATGCCGCTCAGAGACCATAACAAATACATGCAAGCTGTATGCTCTGGAAGGTGCGCAACGTCAAAGAGATCTCGCCATTAGTCATCTCCAAAGCGACCTTTCAAGTCTAATCACACGGGGCATACACAACAATTTGTCCGAGACTGCAACACTACTCACCAATATGGTCAATGTACTCGATTTGGAAAGAACCTTGGCAGACGGAGACGAGTGGCAAATCCACCTTGAGGCTGCCCTCAACCTTATTCGTGACCTGCTGCAAGACGAGTCTGGCTTGCAAGGTTCAAATTGGTCCTTGGTCCTCAGACGGCTTTCTGACCGCTCCAAGCCCGCCGGCTTCGACATGTGGAGTATCGACCAGGCTGCCTTTCGTTTCTCTGTCGCGAAACTTGTTGTGTTTGATATTGTCACCAGCAGCTCGTTGGGACGGCCTCCAGGGCTACTATCTCATCACCAAGAACTTCTCCGAGGCGATCGAGATCTAATGGACAGGAACCCTCTGCAGTTGACCGAGGTGAATGGTTGCCAGAACTGGGCGATGGCCCTCCTTGGGGAAGTAGTCGCCCTCGATGCTTGGAAGAAGGACCAAGAAAAGCAAAAAACCCAATACAGGCAGCACTTACTCCTTCGTGGTGAGGACATTTACACCAGACTCAACGATGGTCTCGTACAACTTGACAAGTGTTCTAATTCTCAGGATAATGTAATGACCATGGACAGCCTAACCTCTAGGGCGCCGCCGCCGCCGTACGTTATAACAAAGTTATGGACATTCGCCACTCTTGCGTACCTGCATATTGTTCTGCATGGATGGCAACCATCTAACCGCGAGTTTCGCCACTCGGTCTTTCATGCTACGGAGCTCATCAAGCAGCTATCTCCGTGGCCTCTTCATCTGCGAGCTCAATCCTGGCCTCTGTGCGTCGCGGGCTGTCTTGCTTCTGAGGAGGAAAGGCCATTTTACCAGAGCCTGGAGAGCATCTTGGGTGCACTGGCGAGCTTTGGGTCGATTCAGCAGACGAAAAGGATATGGAAAAGGGTGTGGGCAGACAAATCTGATGAACCTCGAAAAGATGTAGCAACATGTCTTGCAAGCTGTGATTATAAGGCATTTCTGGCTTAGGCTCATAGAAGGAGTCGCAAGAGTTGAACTGTACTCATTGACTTGACGCCGTTGTCTCTTTCATGAGGGCCACTTTAGCGATTCTGCTATTTAGGTTTTTCACAAGTCAACTGATTTTGAATGCTAGAGAAGAACTTATTCTCAACGCCGATGTGGCTTAAAAAGAAGGGTAGACAAAATGTCTGCCTTGGCTCAATAAGCGTAGACTACCTCCTGAATGACCAAGTGAGTTGGACCGGTGAAAGGTTATGAACAATTTTTGTAAACAAACCCGGCTACCTTGAGGGAGCCTAGTAGAATTCTGTCAACTTAATTATAAAACCAGTCATTTACCTCGAGTCTCCTCCATCTGTGTCTCTGTCTCTATTTTTCTCTCACATTCTTCCAGCTTTCCACATTTCCTTCGCATTTCTCGTTACTCTTCAGTTCCTTCTCATCGTCCAATTTCCTTCATCTGCCTGTCTCTATTTTCCTTTCCATCTCGCCATTGCTCGTCATAATTTCTGGAACAGAAAACAGTAGGCAAGGGAGTGTACTTTGAAGAGCACATAGAATATCTGCAAGCGTTAATCGCTGCATATTTCGAGCATTTGTCAAAAGATATATGCAAGCATATATCGGCGCGAACGCAAAGACGTACATGAGAGCACATAGAGAAGCATACTTTGCAGCATATCGCGCAGCATCTCAAGAAGCATACCAAGAAGCAGAAAGAGCAGCACACGGAGCAGCACACGGAGCAGCACACGGAGCAGCACACGGAGCAGCACACGGAGCAGCAGAACGCAAATCAGCCGGACAGCAGACATTTCGCACCACTCTTGACAAAATGGCACGATCGTTTTCGATTCCCATGGCATTGTGAGTACCTGATATACTGATATAGCTCTGCAGAGCGACCAAGGAAACCAGGAGCTAATATTTCTTTTCCTTTCAAGTTGGGGTATGATGATTCTTCTCATCACCCTCGCCCATGCCATGCCGATTCCGGCGGATGGAAACCAATACGGCGACCTTGATCATCAAGGCTGGGATCACCATGTCCCGCAGGCGCTGGCGCAACATGCCACGGAAGACCAGTTGAGATTTCAGCCGGCGCTCGACTTTGACAAGGATGGCTGTTACAACGCTCCCGCCATTGATGCACAGGGAAACGTCAATCATGGCATGCATCACGATGGTACCTCGGCTAATGGTATGGTTCCCCAAGCTGAGAATTCCAAAACGCGAGACTTGGACTGCCCAGAATTTGACAGCTGGCTAACCTTGCGCTTGATAGATCGTTGCCGTAACCCATCATATCTCGATAATAATAACGTATATGTGCGCTCAAAGTGCAATAACAATTGGTGCGCGCACATGTACGCCTATTACTTTGAGAAGGACGTGGCGGTCGAGAATTTCATCATCGATATCGGCGGCAGCAGACACGACTGGGAGAACGTAATCGTGTTCCACGAGATGAACTCGACTGATGTCAAACACGTCGCCATCTCAGAGGAGTACGGTTACAGTGTCAGAGTAGGCGACTACGTAAAGTATGACAGCGGCACCCACCCAAAGGTCGTATATCACAAGAACGGAGGCTCCAGACACTCCTTTCGGTGGTCCGACAAGGGCGACGAAAAGGACGGGCCCGAGAATGACAAGCACGTTTGGTACCGCGGCCCCCTCGTGGATTACGACAATGGGTTTCCCAGCACGGCCATTCGCGACACGTTGATGAGACACGACTTTATAGAGGACAAGAATGTGATTCCCCTGCGGCCCTGGACCTTCGAGGCCTATCTTCGCGATGCCATTGTCAGGGTCAAGGGCAATGGAGTTGGAGACTTTCACGAGTTTCACAAGGACTTTAACCGCGAGTTCTTCTTACCCTCGGAAATGGACAAGGAGATGTGCAAGATTTGGAAACCCCCCTTGTTGTTCCCTCCGGAAACCTACGAGCGGCCTTGCAAGAACAACGATCCGGGCTTTTGGGATTGGATTGCGAGCTTCTTTGATGGCTCGCACCCAAGGTGGCCACTCTGACGTGGGAGTACTGGAACTGCCCACTAGTGTGGCTATGGAAGTTTGACATGGGGTGGCTTAGTGGTCCAGTAGGGGACATAGAAACGTTTGTTTTTGGTTGAAATTTTGGCTCCAGCACACGAAAGGAGTCACCTAGTTTTACGCATACACTTTCAATATAGTTATCCATGCGCCCTCCTTAAATTATTATTTGAGAAACATGTCTTTGAAAATCTCATCTTTTCGTTGATTTATCAAAACCATGCAAGGGCAACAGCCGCCTGGTTGTGGTCCTAGTTGGGGTGTGGTTTGGTTGTGTTTTTGTTTCCCATCTCAATTCATGAGCTGATTTTTGTTGGTTGATATTTTTCTCTCTGGCTGTATACCATGTTCAATCGTGTACAGAGTACTCGAGGTACCAACTATACTACGCTGCTTTGTATCTTGCAAGTTCCACAATCCAGCCCATTGGAGAGAAATACAGCTTCAATATCGCGGCCCCGGGTGAGAAAGCATGCGGTAGCGACGCTAATTAGAAAAATATAGTTGTGATAATCATCGCTCTTGACGCAGCCAATGAGTACAGAATACGTAAGGCCACATTCACTGGCGCTTCGCAACTCTTGACCACACAGTCAGCATTGCTGACAACCGAGGGTAGCAGCGGGACAGGGATCATCTGCATGGGACAGTCAAGTATGTCGTCCTGTAGCATACTCAGTAGTTCTATCCAAGAAAGAACTTTGCAGTAGCTGCATACCTAGTAGTTTCTAGATAACCGCATACGCACCTGCAGCTGACATTGCTCCTGGCAATCCGTGCGCTATACGCCCATTTCGTCTGAACGAATCACCTCGATAGAATCAGAGAGTTGCAACACTCTGCAGGCTATGGATTCTCTAACATATAAGAGTGATTGGTATCCATTGCCAATGTCCTGATCGAGTGAAAGAATGATACAGACTTAGTCATTCCCAAACGACATCAGAATGGATAACATCAATCCACTTGTTTTGATCGCTACCCTGGCAGCCATATTTCTAGCATCATACTGTTTCTATGCCGTCTATCTGCACCCGCTCCGAGACTTTCCTGGTCCTAAACTATCAGCCGTGACCCGCATCCCCTACTGGATCGTCTGTCTGCGTGGAGACCAGGTCAGACATTTAATCAAGCTCCACGAAAAGTACGGCCCCGTCGTCAGGTACGCGCCCGACGACCTGAGCTACGCCGACGGCCGGGCCTGGAAGGACATTGCCAGCGTCCAGAAAGGCAAGAAGGAGAATCCCAAACAGGTCGAATTCCACGCGCCCTCGTGCAACGGGACGCCCAACCTGGTGACGGAGAATAACCAGGAGCGCCACGCGGCCATTCGCCGCGTCTTTTCGCCCGCCTTTTCGGAAAAGGCCCTCAAGGCGCAGGAGCCCCTGTTCCACAAGTATGCCGACCTCATGGTCAAAAAGGGCGGCGCGGCCGGTACCATCAACATGACCGAGCTCTTGAACTGGGCGACCTTTGACATCATGGCCGACTTGGCGTTTGGAGAGTCTCTTGGCCTCTTGGAAAAGGGCGCATACTCTTCATGGATTGCAATCGTCTTCAACGCTGTCAGGGTACGTAGTCTGAGCAGGTGAACTGGGGCAGTCGAGCTTATTCAATGTCAAGGTTCTCCCGTTTGTCCAAATGATATCCTTTTATCCGCTTTTGAAGAGGCTGTACGACTTTCTGGAGCCCAAATCAGTCGTGGCGATGCGCCTGGATCATTTCAATCATACCGTGGAACGCGTCGATAAACGACTCCGCGATGGTTCCGAGAGCCCTGATCTCTGGAATTTGGTGGAGGAGACCAATGTACTCACTGTGAAAGAGATGCATACCAATGCGGAACTGTTCATGCTCGCAGGCACAGAGACTACAGGTAGGATGACGGAAATATTCGGGCTACACTGTATTTTCGTGTGGCTGAGACTTGTTAAACAGCTTCATTATTGACGGGCCTCACATATCACCTACTCACGAACCCCGATAAGATGAAAATCCTGACCGATGAGATTCGCAGCCGGTTCAAGGATTATCAGGACATGACGTTTGAAGCGCTTGCCCAACTAGAATATTTGAATGCATGTACGTACACCTCGACTCGAAGCAACAAGATACTCGACATTCTTTTTTTTTTTTTTTTGACACCGGGACACAGGCATACGTGAGGGACTGAGAATTTACCCCTCGATTCCCACTGGCATTCCCCGAGTGGTCGCAGACGGTGGTAATATCATACTAGGGAAATACATTCCAGGAGGCACTCGTGTGTCGGTGCATCAATCAGCAACCTACCGCTCATCGACAAACTTCAAGTAATGTACCCGCCTTGCATGATGGAACAAGGGAGATAATTGGAATCTTTTCTGACCATGAAACTTGTCCGAGTCCAGGAACCCCAATGATTTTATTCCAGAACGCTGGCTCGGTGATCCAGAGTATAGCCACGACAAGCGCGATGCGCACCAACCTTTTTCAGTGGGCCCGAGAAACTGTCTCGGCATGAACATGGCTTGGCACGAGATGCGACTTTTGCTCGCAAAGCTATTGTATAGTTTTGACATCGACTCTGATGTTGGGCCCGAGTGGACGGAGCAAAACGTCTACGTTATTTGGGACCGTAAGCCGCTGGTGTGCCGCCTGGTACCAGCTTCGTCATGACCATCAGTCGACAGTATGGACGTGAAATATGGGCAACGGTGTGCGTTTGCACTTGTATATTAGTACCGTACCTGTATAAGTTTCGTCAAGATTATATGATTGCTATTTTGCATCATGAATGTACAAGCACGAGCAATCTAGATCTTGAAAACCAGATTTCTGTTGCTTGTATAACTATAGTTGTAGGGCTGGCTGCCATTTCATTGCGACTACCGCTGGTTCATGCTCAGTGTGTATAGGTGAGGTGTAGGACGTTGCTCACGGTGGAGCAACAATCGCGAAAGTTGTCAGCATTATGTTGCATATTACGTAGGTAGATGATCGGGATGCTTTGCTGACCGACTCAAAGAAGCATCTGTAACGAGTCAGTTCGAGTGCCATATCTTCCAAAGGAACCGCTATTGCCAAGAAAGGCTCAACGGTAACGGCGCGTGTCACTTGCGCGGTGAAAGGGTCCCTTCGAGTCAGGAGAGCAATCCACATTTAGAATACACAAAACATACTGTTGGATATAAGAAAGCTGCACTGCGATATCACGAATCTAGTCAGGTTGGGCATTAAAGGCAGAATGGTGTTATCGACAAGGCAAGGTTTGACATCTGAAACTCTTGTGAACAACATGATATAGATACCATGTCCAAGGCTGGTCAGATGCCCAAAAATGGTCTCGTTTTGCCAGGTCAGGCGGCTGACTGATTGGGAACGCAAAGACTCTTATCGCTGTCGTGCTTTTGGTATGCGAGCTTGTGACTATGCTTATCTCTTTGCTCCTCGTGGGTAGTAGGGCCAGCAGGCCAGCATGACCACTGCCACCTGGGCAGCTACCATGTACCTATCTTCCCCTAAAAGTCCAAGGTCAGGCGCCCGAGACGAGAACCAACCAACCAGCGCGTTTTGTCCCCGACAGCACCTGGTGTGAATGGGCCGTTAGCAGCGACCTAGCCTGCAGTCCCTGCTAGCATAAGGAATTTCACGGGATTTCTTGTCCGAGCATCAGTGGCTCGACTGGCATTTGGGGGTCCTGGGGGCACTGAACAGTAAAAGAGTCGCCGCTGGCTTGGTGGAGAAGAGCTGATCGTCAGTCCTACGGTGGGTAGCAGAAAAGCGGAGAGACCCCTGCTTCCGAAGATCCGTCCGTACATAAGGGTCTTGCTCGCGTGGGAGGGGGTAAGGCGGGCGAGCAACATATGGTGAGGGGTTGGTTGGAATCGGGGGCATAAAACACTACATCAAATAGATGACCACCAAAAAGAGCACCTGTGCATCATCATCATCAAGTGTCATGACCGCAACAACCTTTTTTAATACATGGGAAATAGCTTTGAAATGGTGGTGTAAGAGCTTGGAGGTTGTGCACTCTTGCCTTTGAATCTCCAGTCATGTTTTCCTTCGAGAAATTGTGAGTGGTGCCACAATAGTGGATGAGCCGGCTGATAGGCAGTTGGGGGACAGCTTCGAAAAGATGGTGGGGTCGGCCCTGGAGCTAGCCATAGCTGGTGTAGTGAGCAGCACATATTCCGTAGCGCCGACATGTATGAAGGGACCGTTGATCTTTTGGTGGTTGTGTGATTGAATTATACCTAGCAGGCTACAGACAGTCGGTGGACGCTCCTTTTTTCTTTAGTGTAAGTGTCCATAGCTACAGTGTTATGCGTGCGTTGTTTTTTTCTTCTTCTCTCCTCCCCATCAAGTATGAATCTGACCGCCGAGTCCAGCCCAGCGGTGAGATTGAAAGCTGGAGACTCTAGCACCGGGATCTCGTTCCGCCTCGGTTTGATCAAGGTTACTGCTATAGGCGGAAACATATTGGTTCGCATTGCCTTACCCAACTGGCTGGTTCCTCGAACTAATTGCTCGGGTAATAACCTATTACCATGGTACAAATCTGAGCCCTGCGCCATTTCCTTCTTTCTGCAAGGTGGCGGACTTTTTGGCATGATCGGTAACAGATATGCCCGAGTAGGTAATGTCGTGTCTCGACCATAAGCCAGCCATTATTAGACGGATGCCCAAGCAGCAGGCAGTTTGGCTCCCTGTCTCGAATTTGATCTCAATTACTGCAGTCGGATATAACCAGGTCTTGCCATGGCTTCTGCTGAGTTGCCACGAATGTTGATCGTCTCAACATGCATGCATCAAATTGATCCATAGATGTATGTACACACTTCCATCTGCAGATATGCAGCGAGCGAGCAAGCACGCAGTGAATGTCAGTCCGCCTGCACCCAGTCAGTGCATCCAACCCTGGCACGCCACCAGAAATCTTTATGGGCAGACTGGCAGACTGGTAGGAGACCACATAATACAGCAGAAAACTGCAAACAGATTTGGAGAATGAAGAGGCGACACCCTGCATCCAGTAATTGGAGAAGACTCTATTTCCGGTTAGTCCGCCACCACATCCAATCCTCAGCTCGCACCCGCCGACCCAAAGGGAGCGAGGGACAAGAAGTAAAAAAGAGCGACAAGGATGGGGAGGTGTGGAGAGGCGCACCGCCAAGAGATCCAGGGTCTTGCGGTTCGGCGGGCCAAAGTCAAGCGGACACTGACTTGGTGGGATGGTGGTGGGTTGGGGGTGGGACAGGCGGGCTCGTGTCTCAATGCTACGCTAAAGTCCAGGGTAACTAACGTCGAAAGAAGTATCCCCTCGTTACCTACTGATAAGAAAGTAGTTGGTCACGGTCAGCTGCGACGGACAGACAGACAGACTTGCTATGTTATTAGAAAGACAAGGCTATGGACAATTCCATCCGTGGTTCCATTTCTCCCTCTTGACAAATTTTGTTTTCTTCTTTGCTTCCATCTCAACTGTTTAGACGTCCGGCCTGCATTTATAGTCGTGATGCTAGGATTACGAATACTCCGTGTCTAAGCAGACTCTAAAAGCAGGTATGTATGGCCACTCCAACCAGCCCACTACTGCCGTTTTAGGCCAACCCACGTCTTCCCCCTTCCTCCATGGCTGCTCCTCACTAACTGTCGTATCCGTCGTTGGACGCGAGTCAATGCTGACCAGCAGAGTCTAGAAAATCTAGAAAACCCGAAACAAAAGATCCCGTAGTTGGCCCAGTTTTTGGTTGGGGGAAAAGGAAGAGCTTTCCTCCACGAGTCCAGTCCAGCTGCATCTGTCTCTATTAGACCTGTTTCCAGCGGCAACTTGCACCTTTTGTCTTTCTGGAACTATTCGACTGAAGGCCTACTACTCCGCTCTTTTTCTGCTATTAGTGGTTCGCCCACCGGCATCGTCCTCGCCCATTCTAAAGAGGCTCACCCTCGCTCGTACAATATCGGACATTATTTCGCGACCCAATCATCCTTTTAACCTTTTTGGCGCATACTATACATAAGCATATCTCAACAACGTGCGCAGTAACTTAAAAACGTTTCGAAAGCTTCAGAGCTGTCGCCCAACATCTCGAATCTAGACGTGATTTTGCCTCAAGGGTCGGTTCCCATACCACGCCCGCCCCTCATTCGCAACCGGGGTCTTGGGGTGATCTCTGGGCGGAGTTGTATAGCAACACGTTGGAGAGCTATATCCATCGACAAAGACCTCGTCCCCTGGCTTTGCTTTGCAAAAACTGGCCACCAGTGTCTGGCTGGGAATTTCTCCGTCTGGGTCTTGATTACATATCCTTTGTCTGAGCTGGCCACCTCGACAAACTTGGGCCACCACTCTTGCAATAGGCCAACATGGCGGGCACTTCAGTCGAGGAGATAATGTCGGCAGCCATAACGGCCCCGCCTAGCCCAATCGAGGAATCTCCTGGAGCTGCAACGCCCCTCGAAGGTCCGGCAACTCCAAAAGGCGGCCGCCGCAAGAAATTGATGAGCCGAATTCAGCGCATTTCTTCGTCTCCTACTCTTGCACAATTGGGTCGCTCACGATCCAACGCCCCCTACGGCACACGAGGCAGCTTGTCTTGTGTGAGTCTGGCAGCAGCCGGGCCCCCAGCTCAGTATACTCCCGGACCTTCGTCCTCGGCCGACTACTTTTCGTATTCGTCGTCCACGACTCCTGGCACGCCGGCGGTCGAGTTCCCGTCCTACGATGGCATCGAAAGCCGACTCGCGATTCGCAAGGTTGAAAATGCATCGACATCATGCCTGACGTCGGGATCGATTGGATTGCCAGCAGAACTGACAACACGATCCCGATCTAGCACCGCCGCCCTCAAGCCTCCTTACGATTTCTGGGCAAATATGCCCGACGAGATCCGAGTTTACATATTCTCCTTCCTCTGGCCAAAAGAGTTGGTGCGCGCGTCTCGGGTCAGCAAGGAATGGCACAGTTACTGCTTTGATGGACAATTATGGACGAGATTCGACGCCTCCGACTTTCACCAGGACATTCCCGCTGAATCTCTGGCCAAGATCATCGTGGCAGCCGGCCCATTCGTCAAGGACTTGAACCTGAGAGGCTGTATTCAGGTCGAGCACTTCAAGCGTGCCGAGGTGGTTGCAAAAGCATGCAGAAATCTCATCAACGCAACACTGGAAGGTTGCCGCAACTTTCAAAAGACGACCCTCCACAGTCTGATCAAGGCTAATGGAAAGCTGGCAAATCTCAACTTGACCGGACTTCCTGCAGTGTCCAACACTACCTGCGAGATCATTGCAAAGCACTGCCCGCAACTAGAGACTTTCAATGTCTCCTGGTGCAAGCACATGGACGCCCGAGGCATCAAAATGGTCGTGCTAGGCTGTCCCAAGCTCAAGGACATTCGAGCCGGAGAAATTAGAGGTTTCGACAACCACGATGTGGCCAAGGCAATCTTTGAGACAAACAACCTCGAACGACTGGTTCTGAATGGTTGCGCTGATCTTACAGACGAAGCACTCAAGATCATGATTCACGGCGCGGATCCCAAGATTGACATTCTGACCGACAGACCGCTTGTGCCACCCAGGAAGCTTCGGCACCTGAACCTCAGCCGCTGCCGCCATCTTACAAGCGAAGGCGTCCGGTCACTGGGCTACCTTGTGCCCAATCTCGAGGGCTTGCAGCTTAGCGGCTGTACGGCCTTGACTGACTCTGCTCTTGAGCCTATTTTGGCCAGCACACCACGTCTGACGCATCTCGAACTCGAGGACCTGATTGAATTGACCAACGATCTCCTCTCGCATCATTTAGCCAAGGCACCTTGCGCCCCGCAACTCCAGCACCTGTCCGTGAGCTACTGTGAAAACCTGAGCGATACTGGTATGCTCCCAGTCATCAAGAACTGCGTCGGTCTCGTCAGCGTGGATATGGACAACACCCGCATCGGCGATCTTGTCCTGTCTGAAGCGGCCGCCATGGTGCGATCTCGCGGCAACAGGACACCCAGCCGGGACTCTCGCCCACACATTGGTCTCCGCCTGGTCGTTTATGACTGCCAAATGGTGACGTGGACGGGCATCCGCGAGGTGCTCTCGTGGAACGCCGAGATCCGACAACCGATGCATGGCAACGACGCCACATATCCCACCGAAGTGATTGGCATGAAGTGCTTCTACGGCTGGCAGCAGACGGTTGACCAGCACACGCAGCGGGTGCTCCGCGGAGACTTTGCGGCCGCGGGTCGACTGGAGCGCAAGTGGGCAGATTACATGCAGGCAGTCGAGGAGGCTGGCGCGTCGGGAGCAGGCTACCGTCGCAGAAGGCGCAGGGCCAGAGAAGCCCAGATTTTGCATGCCGATGAGGAGGAGGGAGGTGCCGGCATAGGAGGGCGGCGGCGGGCCAGAACGGTGGCCTCGTCATGCGCCATCATGTAAAGGCGCCAAGCTGAGCAGTTTCGTTGCTACATGGTTATCCCGTCGGTGTCAAGGTCTGGTTTTGGGGATGGGTTCACCATAAGCGGTGCTTTGGGCGTTTTGAGATAGGGGTTTTTTTTGGGATTTATTCTGGATTACTTGAGGCATTTTCATCCGGTTCAGGTTTTGGTGAGCGAACACCTTGAGCATTTCAAGAGACTGTATCGACAGAACGAATACATTGAATACAACAAGTCTATACGCATCAAAACCAGAAGTTACCATTGCCAAATCAGTCCCAACCAGGACTTCGTCTGTGAATTCCACATGGCCTCCAAAAAGTAATTCTTCTTGTATTCCGGGCATAGTTTCTTGTACATCCTACAGCTCCTCCTTTGTCTTCTTCTATATAACCTCCAATCTCAACCTTCCTGTCTGAGAGAGAGTCTGCATCACGACTCACCAAGTTTTGCAAATATCTCCCGGTACATTCTCAAGCGTTCGTCCAGTACCTTGCGCAACTCCTCAAGTACACGACCGGCAATAGCCTCGCGGGCATAGGCCTTGCCGCCGTAGACGTGCTCGACGCGGCCAACGTCGGGCGGCAGTCTGAGGAGCGCGCCGGCGCCGCTGAACTCGGCGTGGCCCGAAAAGAAGTCGGGGTCCCCCTCGTCGGCCGTGATCTTGTATGCCGGGGGCTGTATCATGAGCTTTTTGCACGTCTCGTTGACTTCTTGGAGGACCGAGGGCTCGCCGGCGCCAAAGGCGCTGCTGCTGCTGGCTGGTATTATGGCTGGTGTTGATGTAGGGACTGGTGCTGGTGAGGGGTCCAAGGGTGTGTCTGCTGTCGACTCTGCGGGTGGTGCTGGAGTGGTGTGATCTGATGAAGATGTCGAGGGCTCCGTCGCCGTCTTTTGCTTCTTGGTCGGCGGTACCTGGGCAGTGCTCTGCTTGGCTGCTTGCGGCGACGAGGTCACGGGTGGAGGAGCAGCAGCAGACGCGATCCGTTGGTCCATCAGCCACGCCGCCGGCATGCGCCGCTGGTCCAGGAGCCAGGACACGGCGCACTTGGCCGCGTACTGTCGCGCATCCTTTTTGCGGCCGAATGACGGAGGGAGCAATGTGCCGCCGGCGTTCACTGCGGTGGGAAAGGGCTCGCTGTGCTCTTCCAGCGTCACATGGCTCATCCAGCGCTGCAGGTGCGTCAAGTCTTGCGTGGCCTCGTCTGTAAAGACCATGGCCGACGAGGTCAAGGGATGTCTTGCTTGTTTGTAGCCTAATGATGAGTTTTACATGTTTAGTGCTTCGTTGCTTGAATCTTGGTTGCCCTTCATGACTTGATACTCACGGAATAGTAGACTGATCCAGTCGGTATTGCCCAGATCAGCTCCTGGAGGGATAATGGCGTCGGGCTTCAGCAGAGCGTGGAGCTCGCAGAGGGCATCCCTGATGGAGGCGTGGATTGGCGCAGGCTTGCCATGCTTTGCCTCAAACTCTTGCTGCTCATGTATCCATGTCGCAATGTCCTGGAGAATGCCTGGAGGAACTGTCATGGCTACGATGCTAGAGACTACAATCTGGTCATACAATCTAATGAAAGTGGTGGGACTCCAACAACGGCCTCGGGTTGAGCTGTAACTTTGACGTTTGTCCAGGGTTGGGTTCAGTCAATGGGGTAGTATAGGAATGAGGAGTGGGGCAGTTTTTCAAGAGCTACCCAATATCAATTTTCGTCAAGAAAAGCAATAAGACGGCATATCAGAGGTATTTAAGCACAAAAGGCTCAGATTTTAGAAATCGAGCGATTTAGCTAAAGTTGAATTTACGTGAACACTTATTGATAAGAGCGGAATCCCATGAGAGCTGCGCTACGTATCACATGTAGAGTTTCTAAATCGGAGATTCTCCTTAAGGCTGGTGTGCACATGTCAATATGATTGAAATATGCCATACTGAAATTGTTTTATGCTCTCAAGTAGGTTTGACGCGTCGGTATGTGGAATCGAACGATATGGGTTGTATAATGATCAAGACGTCAAGCTGTATTGGCAACACATGGCCTTCATAGGCACCCCAGAGTTGTAATGATCATTCATTGCAAGTAGAGCCAAATATTCCATGGCACCACGCTGTCTCTCGTGCTGGGTATCAATTCTACACCATCCCGCGCTATAATCTAGATTTATGCGTAATGCATCATGCCGCTTCAAAGAAACCACCATCACTGTCATCGCCACTATCGTCAGAGTTTTCTGCCTTGACCTTGTTCTTTGGCAGCTTCTTAGATTCCGTCTTTCCATCGCCAGACCGTGTCGCCTTTTTGGATTTCAGAGCATCATCCTTTGCCGGGCCATCTCGAGACTCGCTGCCGGGTTTTCTTTCCCGAATTGCGGACAGCGCTGGCATGCCCTTTTCCGCCGCCTTTTCAATGACGCTCCAGAACTGTGGTCTCTCGCTGTTGAGCGACTTGGCGGCCAGATTTGTTGACTTTGCTTCCGCCTTTGCCTCCTCGGCGCTTTGTGCGCCATTCGAATCCTTTAGAACGGACGAATACAAGCTAATGTACTTTTCGCGGAGAGGAAAGTAATTGGCATAGAGGCTGTCTATTTGGGCGATATGCAGGTGGCGCTTCAGCTTTTCGAGCTGTTCCTCGTCTTCTGTGTTGGCAATCTGCTTCTGAAGCTGCTTGGCTAACCGATCGGCTTTCTGTCGCTCTATTCAAACACGTTAGCAAAATGACAAGGCATACGAGTAGCATGGATTTTTGCCATACCGTAGAAGCGAATCATGTGGTATTTGCTAATAATCTTTTTCGTCTTCTTGCTCTCTTCGCCATCGACAATCTTTTGCTTGAGGTGAGATAATTCTCGCTCCAGGTCGTTTCTCTTGTCGGCGGGCAGCTTTTCGGCTCCGCGTAGTTGTCTCTCGATATTTCTCGCCCGCCTCTTGGTGTCGTTGAGGTTCTTTGGTGGTGCGACAGTCCTTCTGCCCTGTCTGTTCTTCAGTCGCTTTGCGCCCATGGCATTGCCGTACGATTCGTTGCGGCCATCCTCGGGCTCGACCTTGAAGTCGGAAAACTTTCTCTTTGCGAAACTCATTTTATCTGTTGGAAGGAGGCAAGCGTGTGTCGCAGGACTTGGGGATAATTTCACTCGCTAGAACAAGTATGCAGCCAATGCAAAGGCATACAAACTCGAGAGCTGCTCAAGAAAAAAAGATGGAGCAACGGTTCTGGCGGGGCCTCGATAAGCTGATAACAATCGCCTGGGGTCTCTGGGCGCAGGTGCGCCGTCAAAGGGAGGGCGACGTTAGCGCCTGGCTGGCAGCTGACTGTGAAGCTCAGGGAACCGCATCCATGATCGAACACAGCAGTGGTTGGCCAAGGATCAACCGCCGTCAATGAGAAGAAGCACCTCAAAACTCATTGGCAAGTTGTCACGGTTACAATACAAAGGTGCAATGCACCCATCTGTGCACGACGACATGTTGGTCTCATGAAACACATACTCTCATTGACCCAATTGATAACGACTGTTGAAGGAATGCACTTTGTGGACAGCAATTCGCTTGATAGAGCACAAGCAACACAACCCACAGTGCGGCGCGTTCACTCACTCACTCACTACACGCCATTTCACGCACAGCCCGAGGCAGCTATTGTTTGCACACCCACCAGCTTACATCGTGCAACCTCCAAGCTTGTCACGCAACTTCAAGGATAATTCCGCAGGCTTGCACAAGTCTGCTCAACATTTTACCATGGATCGTCCCGAGCCGGGTCTGATCAAATGGTCTCCCAACCCAGCCAACGACACCTTCATTCATATCAATCTCCAGCAAAGATTCATTCAAGCATATGAGCCCACAGGTCATGCTCACCGAAGTCGCTTCGACTTCAAGAGAACGACCAGGCATGAGGAGTATCCTTTTGGACTCACGACCTATGACTGGTCGCCTTCTATCCCCGGTCTCGTTGCCATGGGCACGAGGGAGGGTGTAGTAAACTTGTTGAGAATAGACGACAACTCAAATGCAGTGACAGACCTGAACCTCAGGGTCTCTCGATTATGCCATGCCGTTGCATTCAATACGGGAAATTTACTGGCCGTCGGGCTAGAGCGTGTGCGGAACGACCAATGTCTGCATATATGGGATGTAAATCGAGCATCGTCTACTGATTCCGACACACCGGGTTTTCCTCTTGATAACTCGGCAATCCTGGAGCCTGTCCAACGTCTCGAGCCTAGCGTTGCCGTCTCAAGTGTCAAGTTCTTTGAAGATAATCCACAGACACTGGTGGTGGGAATCAAGAATAACGGCATTCGTATATACGATCTACGAGGTAGCTATCACCCTGGTCTACAAAGTCTCATTGATAAGCTGCTGACTAGACCCCGGAGATCCGCATGGCTCTGTGATCAACTACCAGACAAGGATGAACAACAATATTGCCATTGACTACGCAGACCAAAACTACTTTGCATCTTCGGCCCTAGACCACCCCGGTGTCGTAATATGGGATCGCCGAGCCACGTCACGCCCGTCTTCGTCACAGGTCTATCTTGACGCCATTGACAAGGACAACCTACCTTGGGGGGCGTCTTTAAAGGTAGACAATGCGGTGGATATGGATCTCGAGCATGTAGAGGAGAGAAACTCGTTGATTCGATCCGTCAGATTCTGTCGAGATCGTCGAGGATTAATGGCCGTCCTGTCTCGTACAGGGCAGCTGAGAGTCATTGACATTCAAAAGGAATACACCAACCAAGAAGTTGATTCTGAAAGTAGTCCCGAACTGCTGGAGGCTCGTAAATCACATGAGCTTGATATCGACTATGCGAACCGAGACAGAAGAAACGAGCGAATTGTCTCATTCGACTGGGTCAATCTTGATTCTCCAGCGCTCACTCCTCGCGCCTTGGTCCTCCGATCCAGTGGATCTTTTGACATTCTTGAAGTGCCGCACTATACTACAGACCATATCTACAAGATGGTTCCGTGGCAAGCGCCGTATCGTGGGCTACATGGTGAGTGACTCTGCGAAAGAAAGCATATGGGAACTAATTATCTGCAGAGGGAAGTAGTTACCACAGTTTGATGGAGTTTGAGCAGTACCAATCATCCATTATGCTTGGTCCATTGACAGTTCAACAAGCATTATCGCAGGTTCCCATATTTGGAGAACACAAGACAGATATTGGCGGCTTGATACAAAAGGCACTTCAACCGCATTATGCCTTTCCACAAGACTACACAGAAGACTCCATGATCAGCACTGCCCAGCTACCAGAATCGTTTTCCAAGGAGTTGTCGACTGCTCAGAAATTACAGGAACTTCGGGGCTTTTCGAGGCGGACATCAAGAAAGGCGTCCGAGACGGCCATGAGCCAATCGTATGTGAGCACTGAAGACAACAAGCAGGGTTCAGATGACCCTTTGGTAGGACGGAACGATCCTCCTTCGAATCGGCAACTACATGAAAAGCTTCTCTCTCAAAACATCGACACTCGAGGCATGCCAAAGGAAGCGCAAATTCTACTGGATCATATTCTTTTACTTCGCGCCAATAACAAGTATCTATTCGATTCCGGAATCAACCGTGACGTTGTTTCGGATGACCCATGGCTCCGAGACTTGTGGGATTGGATAGGTGGTTAGTCAAAGCAGATTATCAACTCGGCAAACATCAAGTATTGACATGTCATAGGCGCCGAAAAGGATGCAGCAGAGGGCGGCATGACCGCTCTGGGCCTTGATCTGAGCTACATGGGTGCCCGATCACTATGGGCTAATGACCTGGGTGCGCTTTCCGGCATAGCATATCTTGGGGCACATGTGCTGACATTGAATTATAGGCGAGCTATACGCCACCAGATTGTCCGACGGAGCATCTCTTCCTGACCGAGCAACATGGGAGCGTTGCCTCCAAACTATCAATCAGCATGTTGGTTCGCCAAAGTATGACGGTGTTGAAACCGCATGGCCGGCGCATCGACAAGCTTGTATCAGAATAACAGGGCTCGGCAGATCTTCCAAGATGTCCTTGGACGACTATCAAAAAACACCCGCAGAAGAGCGAACGCCCTCGTGGCATACCATGATCACGGCCCACGCATTGTTTGCAGGAAATACAGAGCAAGCAGTCCAGCTTCTCAAAAAGGCTAGCAGCGAGCATCCGGAACTCCTATTTGTGTCGCTTGCCCTTCAGCTCATAGGGCAGGACACTGGCAATGCCAGAGAACAGCTCGACTTTGACAACGCAGTTGCATCCAAGACTGATCCGTACTTGCGAGCAATTTCTTCGCTCATCGCGACCAATGACTGGGAGAATATTGCCAATCAGGAATCGCTTCCCTTGCGCGATCGTACATACGTGGCATTGCGATACTTTGACGACGACAAACTGGGCAAATGGCTAGACAAGCTCGTGAACAAGTCCATTCACACTGGCGATGTCGAGGGGATAGTCCTCACAGGCATCACAGATAAGCTGGTTGACATATTTGCCACCTACGTTGAAAAGTTCATGGACTTTCAAACGGCGACTCTGGTTCTGTCGATATGTGCGCCTCGTTATATCGACGATTACCGCTGCCACGTCTGGCGTAACGCGTACCGAGCATATTTACAGCGACACAAGGCATTCTTTCAACGGACCAAATTCGAGGTGGAGAGCACAAAGAGGAGCAGGCGCGACGGCATACCCACAGTGAAGCCTCCCTCACGCCAGATTGCTCTGCGCTGTGTTTTCTGTGATGCCGAGTATGAGCTCGCAAAGACGGGAGGAAACGGCCCATCCGGGGCAGCCACCCCGCGAAACCCGCTCATGACGGCCAATGTGAATGCCGGAGTGAGCTGTCCCAACTGCGGTCGCCACTTGCCACGTTGTGTCGTGTGCCTAGAGGTTGTGGGAATCCCACGCAGTGACAAGCCGGGAGTGGACCCTGAAAAGAGGACTGCTTCCAAATTCCCAACATTTTGCCTCAAGTGTGAGCATGTGACCCATCTGGATCATGCAAGGCAATGGTTTGCCATGCACGTCGAGTGTCCAGTCCCAGAGTGTAGATGTAGGTGTAACTTTAGGGCGAATCCCGATCTTAGTTATCATTGATGAAACGAAGGCGAGCTTGGAGTTGGGGTCTGAACGACTACATTCTGATCTAAATTTGAGAGGGAACGTCCCACAGAAGCCGACACGTCCCTGCTCTGGACGTGGTAACGAAATGACCTTGTATATAATCTTGTTTTCTCTCAGACTGTGGTTTAGAGTACAGAGCGACAAGCATGAGAAGTGGCTGGACAGGATGAATAATACTAGAATACTGGTGAACCAGAAGCCAAGTATTTGCCTATACTCATTTGTACTTTACCTACTTTATGGATTTATTCTCGGCATTCTCACAATTGTGAACCCGTCGGTACCAAGGAGATGAAACCCCGCGCGCTCTCGGATAATAAAATCATTGTGAAACCATGGGTTTGTATTACATGTAAAGATATCATAAACGTTCGTAAAACACATTCGAGTCCACTTTAGGGAATCCGCCTTACTCGGGCTTCTTGCTGGCAAGACCCTCCTTTTGCATCCCCTCGCAGCCCGTGACCTTTCCGGCAATCTCCTCTGCCTTGCCGTACCCTTGTTGCGATGCATCGCGGGCCTCGCCAGCTGCCTTCATGACTCCAGTGGCGTGTGCCTTGGCCTGCTCGCCGGAGCTTTGCCATGCATGGGAGCCGGTGACACTGCCGATTGTAGACTGTTTGTTATCATGTCAGCATTTTTCCGGATGTTGTTCACAGAGAGCTTCTTGGGGCTCGGATATAGGTGTACGAACCTCTGCGGCACCTTTAATGTACTCGACGTGTCCGCCAACGAGGCTAGGGTGCTCGCTCTGGTTGTTTTGAGACATGATGATCTATATTTGCTGTATTTTACTACTTGGTTTAGGGATTGTGTAGGGAATTTTTTCTAAATGATCAAATCAATTGTGCTGTATTCAAGCACAATATATAGAAGGCTACATGAGGACTGCACGTGGTGCTCATTGTTCATGCCACCACCCTCGATACACGCACACTCATCATGACGTACCAAAGATGACGTCAGGGATCTGGGGTAGTATCTTACAGCGACCTAGCTAACAACATGCACTTGATGCGCAACGTGTCTCGGGACGCGCTTTGAATCTTGTGGTGATTGGAAGCATATTTTTGCTCATTCTTTCGATTATTTATTTCACATTCGGCAGGATCGCAGTATGTATACTAATTGACAAGGTAGATGGTCCTCCACTAGAGCAGTGCTTGACGCCGTATTATCCTCCATCGTATCGACAAGCATATATATATACAATGCCAGGCAATTTGAAATGAGCGACAATAATGGAAACCCATAGATTCTGCAACGGGTCAAATAGGTGTACCTTGCATAGAATTTGAAAGAATAACAAATCAAGACCCTCGGCAGCTGCCGGAAATTGACAACCTTCTTCGGCAGTATGGGGAGCATGGTATGGGCATTGCCAACGTGGGTTAGCATCCATCCATCCCCATTCTCCTCATGCAGCCGAGCTAGTACGGAGTGAATGATGTAAGAACGGAGCCTAGCCAGAAGCATCCCTACGATGATGGCTGGCGGCCGAGGCACATAAAGGTAAGAGTTTACCTAGTTCGTGGAATTGATTCAAGTCATTGCTTTTTCTCACCTCCTCACATTGCATCCCTCACCCATACTGTACTTTATATTACTACCTATATTACAACGACACAGATACTCGGCTGCAACATGTCATCCACAATCGGACTCAACTACCCGGTGCTTGCACCTCTGCTTCGTAAGTCATGGTTACACGACACATGTCCGTCTGTTCCACCGTCGGCTAACCAAGGGAATTTCCAATCCGTGTAGCCGTCACCGGAAGCTTTGCCGCTCCCTTTGCAGCCTACTTCTCCTTCCTCAGCCTGCGCGTCGTCAGCAACCGCCTCAACGACAAGCAGTACCTGGGCGATAGCTCGTCCAAGACGCCCGCCGAACAGCACAGCAACAAGCTCTACCTGAGCACCCGCGCCCACACCAACTTTGCCGAAAACGTCCCGCTCGCATTTGTCCTGGCCGCCGTCGCCGAGCTCAATGGCGGCAACCGCAAGGTCCTGACCGGCGCCCTCTCGGCCCTCTTGACATTCCGCATCCTGCACACCGAGCTCGGCATCATGAAGCCCAAGGGCATGGGTCGCGGCCGACCCATTGGTTACTTTGGCACCATTAGTACCATGCTGGGTCTGGCTGGATACGCAGCCTTCCTGGTCAAGGACTACTGGGGATTCTAAATTGACTCGAGATTATAATCATATTGCTCGACGAATAATGGTGGTTATGATGTACAAATGATGGAATAATATAAAAGTCGTGTACTACAAAAGCATATCATTAAGCGACAAAAATGTTAATGTTACTGAATAAAAGAAAAATACATCTGAAAAGTTCACTTCACTTTGAATTAACTCCATGTGAAGAACAACTTATACCATCTACATGATCCAATTGAAAAAGCAACTTGGGCAATGTTATGTAGGTATGTTACGCCAGTCTGTCTGTATCTGACCAAGTCCCCGCGGTTAAGGAGCTGGGGGGCAGAGCTACCCCTGTAAGCTTGGTGCCGCGACGCCTAAAATTTAGCTGAACCCAAGCGCAAACTGTCAAGGCTGCCTTTTTCTATTGTCATTCACCAGCCCCAGCACTTTGGTTTTTTCTCCCTCTTACAGATCAACCATGTCAACGGACGCGTTAATAGACGAGGATTATGCCTCGGAAGATGACTCGGACTTTGCCCTCGACGATGCGGCGGCTCGCGACGCATCAGATGCCTCGGACTCGGACAATGACAATGACGATGATGGCGAAGCGGCGCCAGCCCAGACAAACGCCAAGCGGAAACGCGCCGCGGGCGATGGTGCAGAGGATGAGGGCTATGACAACTCGGGCGATGAGGCCATAATATCCAAGGGCAAGAAGCGACAAAGGAAAAAGGACAAGAGCAAAGACGGCGCTGCGGCGGCCCCCACAGCAGCAGCAGATGAAGACGATGAGGGCGGCGAGGGAGGTCTCATCAAGACCAGGAGCATGCGCGCCAATGAAAAGGCGGAGCGCAAGATTGCCGCCGCCTCGGGGCCCGTCACCATTGACGTCGACGACGTGTGGGCCAAGATGATGGCCGGGCCCATTGTGCCGCCCAAGACGACCAGAGAGAATGAAAAGACGTCATCGCAGACGCCGGCGCAGCAGGATGGCGAGAGTGGGACCAATGCCGCGGCACCGGACGGCGCCTCCTCCTCTGCTCAAGAGCCCTCGGATATGATCAAGATTAAGCGCACGTACAACTTTGCCGGAAAGGTGCATACTGAAGAAAAGCTCGTGCCGCGGGACTCGGCCGAGGCCAAGGTCTATCTTGCGACGCTGGGCGAAGGGGCAGAAGCAGAAGCAGCCGCCCTCGCCGCCGACGAGGCCGACGATCCCATCAAGCGGAAACCGCGCCGAGCTTTTCGATCCGCATTTGAGCCCATTGCCGCCGACGGGGCTCTAGCCCAGCAGCGATCGGACCTGAATCTCGGCATGGCGGCCCGGCTGCAGATGCGCGAACAGCAGGCCCAAAAGGCCAAGAAGCTCAACGTCGTGGAAAAGAGCCGCATGGACTGGGCCGGCTTTGTCGACAAGGAGGGCATCAAGGACGAGCTCGAGCTGGCGGGCAAGTCAAAGCAGTCGTACGCCTCGAGGCAGGACTTTTTGGCCCGCGTCGAAGCAAATCGGGACGAAGACGCGCGCAGGGTCCGCATGGCTGGCCGGGCGTGATTGGCTGGCAAGTGGTTTTGTGTTTATTGTATTGACCATGGTATGGACTATAAAAAGGAATACTGCATTGGTAAGGCGTTGGACTGGTCATTCGGTGTATTGCTCAATCATGGGCAGAAGCGAGCACTACAAGGAGTTTGGGGATTGATCTAATATGAACGACTAGAACGAATATTTCTATGGCAGACTATATTGCGATGAAACTTGAACATTGAGGTGTAAACAAGGGTACGGAATTTGTTGCTCTCCCTTATACCGGCACAGCTATACATCATATAGTGGCACCGGTTGGTTCGCCTTCCACAGTGAGCGTAGTGGCTTCCTCGGCGGCTGCTTCTTTCAACTTGATGGACACATCTGGATCACGAGCGTACACCCGAAGTCCAATGACGGCCACCGCATTCCACGGCTTAATCGGTGCTTCGTTATCATTGTCATCGGTTTCTGATTCTGAATCCGAGTCAGACGCGGACTCGGACTCTTCTTCGTCCACGTCTTCGTCAATGTTTTCCGCGGTCGCTTCTACGGCCTGCGTATCTTCGGCGACGGCTGTCTCAGATACTTCCTTGTCATCCACTGGTGCAGGGACATCCTTTACAGTCTCGGCCTCCGAGCTACTCTGATTGGTACTTGTAGCCGTTGTGGCTTGTTCCGGCTTTGCCTCTGACTTTGCTTCTGGAGCAGCACTTGGCTGTGGCTTGGACTCAATCGGCTTGCCTGGCTGTTGAGGGTTCGATGATGCCTGTTCCGTAGAGGACGAAATTGTCTCTGGAATGGCAGCCGAGTCCTCCTTTGTCTCGCCTTCCTTCTTGGCCTGACTCGGCTTTTGGTCAGATTTGGAGGCATCTTCAATGGCGTCGGCCGCCTTGCGCATGGCCTTGGCAGCTTTGGTCATTGCCCTCTTCTTCTTCGTCCTCTCCTTGGCCTTTTGTTTCTTGGCCTTCTTTTTCTGGGCAAGCTCGTCCTTCTTGGCCTCGACGCGAGCGTCTTCGTCGGGGATGCCGCCCTTGGCGTGAGCCAGGTCGTATTGCATCTATAAAGAGTCAGTCTATGCATGATCTTTAACTGCAGGAGTAGCAGGACAACTTACGCCGACTTGTCGCAGCTTTTGTGGGTTCGTCTCCGAGTATTCCTTGACCACATCCTCAATGGGCTTGGATCGGCCGTGGCGCTTGGCCGTGATCTTTGGGAGGACTTCATATGTTCCAGGTTCGAGGTGTACTTCGCATGAGACCGCGCGAGGCCGCCACATCTTGACGGGGCGGACGCGGCAAATGTGCTCGGATGCCTGGGCGTCAACTTCCTGGAGTAGAAAGTGCAACTCGAAATCGTAATCACCCTCGAATCCTAGAAAGTAGCGATCGTCGAGCTATGAGAGACTTAAGCACAATTTCCAGAAATCAGCCTTGCGATTCATTTGTCACATACCTGTGTCAAGACAATGACGACAAGACCGGCCTTCTTGACCTCGATTTCGAATTTCGTAGGCAGATAGCCAGTGATCCAGGAAATGTTTGCGCTGGTCCATTGCTGGACTACGGTCCACTTTTCATCAAAGAGTCGAGTGCGATGGATATACATGAACTGATTACAGGACAAGTATCAGTAAACAGGAATGACGAAAGGATGGTGCAGTGCCGACTTGATGTCTCGAGGTCTTGGAATGGCAACTTACATTGTCCAGCATGTCTTTCAGTGACATCCAAAAGATGCCATCATCTCCGAATTTGTAATCCAGCTTCTTGAGCCAATAAGGTGTCCATTCTTTGGAACCATCCGACCATGACCCGTTCCATTCACCGAGTCCATCGTAGCCTCGTTGGCCCCAAGGATTTCTAGAAGAAATGGGGTCAGTCCGTGGTACGCGACAAGAGAAATCAAATATCCACCAAGTATCTTACCGTATCTGCACAAGCCGCACCTTGTTCCCATCTTCGTCCACTTCTTCGCGGGACTGGAGGATGCTGTAGGCATGTCCCAGTGCCAGGCCACTTCTCTTATAGTCCCAGCCCTGGCTCATGGCAGCGAGGGCAAAAACACAGTCCCCATCGCTGCATGTAAGCTCCTTCCACAACTTGTCCTTGCTGAGGACTCGGTTGGACTCGATGGTGGTTGTGACGCCGCCCGTCATATCCTCGACACCTTCGCCCGGCCACCCACCACTGATGGCCTCGTAATCGCCATGAGCCTTGGCGTATGCCTTTTCCAACAATGGCAGCCAAGTCTCGTTGGGGTCAGCACAGTGGGCAAAGAGCAGCGCCTCGGAGCCCGTCTGCTTCTCCTTGCGGTGGCGCCTGGCCTTTTTGCCCGTGGCGTCGTAGACGTCGCCATAGTAGTCAAAGTCCTCCTCGGTCAGGTAGAGGTTGTCGTCGACGACGGTGGAGATCCACTCGCCGTCGCGCTGAAAGACGAAGCCGTAGACGCCGCACTCCTCGTCGCGCGCCACGCAGACCTTTTCCATGAGGTCCTTGCGGTGGGCAATCGTGGCAACGGCCGCCAGCCACCAGCAGTCGCCGTCGCCGCCCTGCTTGATGTCCGAGCTGGAGTAGCCATTGACGGTGAACTGGGGCGACTCAAAGATCCAGTCGATGCGGTGCACCGAGCCCGGGTTCGCCCAGGAGCCCCAGCCGCCGCCAGAGGCGTAGCCCGAGTCCCCGTCGGATCCAATCAGGCGGCTGAGGGCGTTGGCGTCAAAGGGCACCGTCCCGTTACTTCCGAGGGCCTGGCTCTGCGCCAGTGTCTCGAGACTACTCTTGACCTCCCAGGCACTGACGGTGGGCGCAGCATCTGCCGGCTTGGCGCTGCCCCCGGCGTCGTCGATGCCGCTCTCGCTGACCAGGCCATTGAGACAATTGTTCAGGGGATCCCGCTCAATGTCAAAGTCGGGATCGGTGAACTTCTCATTGGTCCGATGGCACTCGCGCACAATGCGCTTGACCTTTTCCCGACACTCCTTGGCCGCGGCTTCGTAGCTCTCGGCGGCGTTGCGAGACGACTTGGCCCCGGCTGGATAACTGTGCGGAAGCACGGCCTTGTAGAGGCTCTTGGGGAAAATGGTCGTGACTTTGCCGGGCTTCTTGGTATGGAACTTGTCCCAAAACTCGGACAGAATCTCCTGAGGAGTCTTCTTGTTCCGGTTGGACGGCTTGCTATTGGGTGGAGGAGGTGGTGGATCTCCAAAGACTGCTGCCATTTTTGGGATATTGTAATAAAGGTATACAAGGTTTATACCCCTCCGTATATTGTAAGACTTCTGGTCTGTCTATGCACTTTTGGATACTCGAGATGCAAAACGAATGCCACACACAGAACAACAAGGACGCTTAAAAGGCGAGCCGTCTCAATCTACGCTGCAACATGTATAAATATTCACATTGGCCTAGTATTTTATATTTATCATCACCCCTCATGTTCACAACGCGGCCGCTTCCAAGCCAGCCTCCTCTTTTCGCTTGCAGTCTTTGTGTGTCTCGACCCCCAGAACCACAAACATGCTATCGTATTTTGGCCCAATAAAAGTCCCATAAGGAATCCGGATAGCCGCTTCTTGTCAAACTGGCAAGCAACTTTTCAGCTCTTGGCCTTTTTCATTTTTGCAAACCCTGGCTCAAAGCAAGTAAGCCTGCTTATTTACTTTTTCGAGTAGCCAACTCGGACATGGCCAACTGGCTCCGCATAAGGAAACTATACCCTGAATAGTCTGTTTAGAGGGTCCAGACATGAGTGCTAGAACATGGGAATCAATTCCTGGTTGGAATTACCCCAGTCATTCCATGCATGCATGCAGTCATGGTTGCATCGACGCATGATTGGTCCACGAAACGCAAAGTCCTACTCCTCATGGCGCGCCAATCTATAACATTGGTCTTTGTTTTCCATGAGCGTGAGCATTAGGGCAAAACAAAAATGGGGTCAAATATACACTTCATTGTCATCTCTATGATGAGGAGTGCCATCTTTATGGTGAGGAGATAGGTACCCGTCTGCCGTCTAAACGTCATCTGTAAAAAGACCAAAGCCGAAATAATAGTAACCAATGCCACGATTCCCTTGACTCCCATGTAAATGCTCAAATCAAAGCTAGTGATGCTTCACCTTTTGCTTGTCTCTAGGGGGGCCCTTGACCGACAAGCCCCGGGCGCTGGCCCAGACACTGTCCATGACCTTTTGTGGTATCTTCCTTCCTCGTAGCCTCTGGTCAATGAGCCACATGCCAACGACAAACTCGGTCCTGGTAAGCGCGCCCCGTCCCGTCTGATCTACAAGATCCCAGACCTCGGCCAGCTCCTCGGGAGGTAACCGGCTTCGAGACCATATATCACGAACAATAACATTGACGACGAGGTCTCCATCGCCGTTGCCTCCATTGGAAGGGCTCGGGGTGTTGGTCTGTGGAGTTGTTCCGTTCGAGTCAGCGGGCGAAGGAGTCAGTAATTGTCCTCGGTTACTGGCCCATACGCCTTCGTACCGCCTACGCTCCCTGATGGTGATTTCCTCGCGCCAGCGCTTGCGTGCACCCTCATGATGTGAGTGCTTCTTCTTGCTTTGGAGCGGCTTGGTTCGGTGGCGAGCTTTCCACTTTTCTTCCTCGTCTGATGAGTCCGATCGCGGCTTGCGGAGAGTCTGCCGCATGAGCGGTGTATTTTGCCGCGGCGGTACCGAGGGCGGACGGGGTGATGGGGCAGCGCTACCCAGAAGAGGAGAACGAGATGATGCCACGATTCCAGCCATGGTGGCGTTTGTCAAGTTGTTCAAGGTCATATTGGTGGGTTGTTGACTGCGTCGCGGTGGAGGTGGAGCTGGACTCTGGTTCTTAGCTGTGGCATCCCTAGCCAAAGTGTGAACGGATCTAGGCCGGGTCCGAAGCAGGACTTGAGGTGGTTGCTCAGACTCCATGGTTGGTGAACGACCTCTATGAGGGGAGGGTGGCCGCGAGGTCTGCACGGAAGATGCTGATACAAAAGTATCGTCAGAAGACACCGAGGAGCGCCGATCAGATGACTTGATGAGTGGTTGCGACGGAGGCTTTGGTGCAGTTGATTGAGACAAGACCATTTGTGCAATCTGCTGTGCGGTCTGAGATTGTGGTTTCCGTCTGACTGCTGGTGGCGGCGGTTTGCGAGTCACCTCGGTTTGTTGTTCTGGCGGTAGTGGAGGTTCCACCATTTTATGTGACGCAGCTCTCTGCGGCTGCGGTGATAGAACAGGAGTGTCCGTCTTGCTCGCAGATCGAGGTGGCGTACTGGCACGATGCTTGCTCTTGACAATGGCTTGCATAGGCTCCCCAGCCATATCTGCTTTAATTTGTAGCGGCTTACTTGCAGCAGGTAACGGTGGCGGCTTCTTCTTCTTCTTGGCCAGAGTTGATGGATTCTCTTCTGGCGCATCACTCTTGGAGTTCGTGTTTGATGCCGTGAATGACTCTGACTTTCCCGACGCTGAATTGCTCGCTAATCGCGAAGGTGAGGGCGAACGCAGTGCTGCTGGTTTCTTATCAGAGCTGATACCCCGTGAGGGTGTGGTAGGTCGTAGCTTGGGCTTCTTTGTAGGATCACCACTCGTACTGGCACTGTGACCTCTGTTGTTCGTCTCAAACATGGATATCAAGGCATTGGTAGGCGGGATGGAAGTGATGTCCGTCGTCAGGTCCAGACTAGTCACAGAGCTTGCTGGGCTATTCTTCTTTTGCTTGACATTTGCAGCCCCGGGCTGGGTATTGTTGCTGGGCCGTACCTGCGGTCGCTGATTCGGACTGGGGCTGGCCGACCGACTCGCAGCCAGGGTCGCAGCAATAAACGACGTCGCTCGAGGGTCGGTTGCCAAGTTGAGCCTGCCGGGAGGCTTCAGCGTCGAACCCCCGGCATTGTTCTGCGAGGTTTGCGTTGGCCCGGTCAATGTCTGAGTTAATCGCTGAGTGGTGCCATTCTTGTCGACTACGCGACCGTGCTTCCCATCCTGAACGCTGCCGCCGGTAGTCTGGCGACTGATGTGGGTAGCTGCCATCAAGGCGCCCTTGTCGTTCCTCGAAGCGTTCCCGGCACCGTTGCCATTCGACGTCGACGACGGACCTGTTCTCTGAAAAGCAAGAGAGGCCCCTTTCAAGGCCGTCTGGTACGCCTGGCCATCCTGGGCAGACGAGGAGCTCGAGAGGCGTCGACTGGGGTGGTTAGGGGTCACGGGCCGGTGCATCGAGCCGCAGAGACGGCAAAGCTCGCCGAGTGATGTTTCCTAAATAAAGGCGAAAGCATCTAAAGCTTGTTATGTTGAATTTGGGAAACTATATGGACGAAAAGTAGTTGTCACCGACCAGGTAGGGATCGATGGAGCTTGTCAAGCTGGGTGTTGGTGGGTGATCATTGTGTGTCTGTCGCAAGGTAATCAGGCAGGCAGTTCAGTCCAGTCAACTCCCTGAACACGAGGCGAGGGGAAGGGAGACAGCTAACCCAGCGTTCGAGGTGGCACGTATAAGGCTGAACCACTAAAAAGGCGGCAGGTTCGGAGCTTCCAACGCGCCAGCGATCATTTTCAGCGGGGCTTGGGGCCGTTTGACCAGCGTCCCGCAGCACAACGGTCAGGGGTGAAGCACGCTGATATCATTGTGCTTTCAGGGGTAAAGTGCTCAAAATAGTACCAAGGTTAAATGTATTTATGGGTAATTGTTGATACTGGCTTCTTTCCCCCGACATGAAATCACAATGAACAAAGCAAGATACAAGACAATTATTATTCAACACCATTCACATTTCACATTATCCAAAGCACAGAGAAAAGTCTTGATTCATGAACAATTGTCAATTGATGACTTTTGATAAACAAGCATCATCTATGTAAGCAGCAGCATGTGCCTGAACTCCGGACCAAGACGCCGAAATGCATCCTTCATCCACGGTATCAGTCCATCCTCCTCTTGGTCTTGTTTGTATTATCCGACAAGAAGTTTCCATACATCCAAGCGTGTCGCACCAGAAACAAAGCAGATATATATTCTCGCCGAGGTTGCCTCCTATGCATACTTTTCACCAAGATGGACCCAGTCCTCGCGGTACGAAAGAATTGCTTTTCAAGCACCTTGCGGCAGTAGAATATTATGCAATTAAATGTGTACAAAGCAGAAGAAAAGAAAGCGCAGGAAACAAAAACAGAAAAAAAACATTTGGGGTGTATCATTGAGGAAGAGACGGAGTGACGCGAGAAAGAGAAAGGCAAATGATGGCTCGGTAGAAAGTCGAACTCTATAGAAAAAGAAAACGCCATGGAGAGACTCGCTGGAATCATGTCATGCTAACATTGCATTCGTGAGAAGCCGTTATTCATGACACTCGGAAACTCGTGATTCATTCAGAAAACAGATCTTCTCGAAGACGATTGCTCAGAAGCCATCCTCGTCTGTCCACTCGCTTCCAGAGAGAATTCTGTTGCCTTCAGCATCAATAGTGCCGTGTGTTACTTCGGCGGGTACTCCTCGTGGACGCTTAATCTGAGAAGCCTGCAGGTGCGAGTAAGGCTCGTCCGGTGTGATTTGCATGGTTCGTGCCGCACGCACTTTGGCGTAATACGTCTCGGACACGTCTGCCTCGGGTTCAGAGACATCGTCATACGTCTCCCAGTTCTCAGATTCAGACACTGTGGAACCAGAAGTATTGGATATCTGTCGGGGTGGGGGAGCTTGAGGGTAGTCAGGGCGGCCGACTTGGCGGATGGATCCGTGGGAGGCGTAGGACTCGTTACCATAATGACGGCCATAGCTCTCATCAGAAAACCGGTTGTCGTACACATCCTCTGGCTCAATAGGTCGCACAATGACACTGGAGTTCAGGCCTGCGTTCTTATACGGGTTGGCGGGTGCCTCCAGAGGCGGGCTTTGCAAGAGGTCTCTCATCTTCGGAGGAGGGGCTCGCATCATTGGCGGCGCGCCACGCAGAGTTCCGTAACCAGCACGGGACTCTGGTCTTGGTCTCTCCGGGGAGTTCGTAGCGTTTAGAAGATTGGACAGAGGTGCACGCTGCGGCAATCTTGTCGGGCTGTTACTGTTGGCGCTGGGTGGGTGGCTCACTGTCTGTGCCCTCTTGAGGGTGCCAGTGCCATTAGACATTGCACCCGGAGTCTTGGGCCTTGAGATGGTACCAGCTCTGCTAATAACACTATTTGCCCGGCTGACTGAACCTGCCGCGGATCTCTTTGATGCCGAAGGAGGAGGGCCTGCAGGTGTTTTTGAGCGGGCCGGAATAGCGGGCCTGGCATCGCCGTCCTCCAAAAGATCAAGATATCTCTCTCCGTGGACAAGGAACGGTCGTCCGTATTCATCCTCCCACTGCTCAAGGCCTTTGCGAAGCTCAGCCGCAACCTTGGGCAATTCCTTGGAGATGCGCTTTCGCATCTTTTCTTCTCTGAGAAGCTTGCCCGGGTCACGTTTCTCGCCCTTCTGACCGCGCATCATCAACCGCGAAGCATCTTGGCTAGAGGCTTGGAGCTCGTCACGCTCCTTGATGAGCTCGCGATGCCTGTCTACAAGAGCCAGTGTCGGTGCACGCTGCTCCCTCAAGGCCTCCAAACGGCCAATCTCGCGCTCGTGGGCATCCAGGAGCGCATCACTGTAGACCTCGGAGAAAGCCGGAGTAAAATCGAGCATTTCGTCCTCGGAAAAGTAAAGTGCATCCCAGAGACTTTGCAGCTTGTCTCGAGCGTCTTCCACAAATAGATGAAGATTCTGCCTCTTCAGCTCGTTCATCCGTGACAGCTCGTCCTCGAACTCATTGATTTGTCGCACTCCACAGCCCCGGTTGCTATTCAGGAACGCCTTACGATCCGATTCATCAACTCCTAGCTTCTCCCACAGTGCCTCAACAGCAACCTTCAAGTCTCTAAGACGTTTCTCCCGGGCCTTCTTCTCATCGACGAGCTTGTCTCGCTTTGCTCGTAGTCTCGAAATATCTTCTTCGTGCAGACCGAGCTGTTCGGGCGAGTCGCGGTGGTACTTAACAATTGCACCGTCAATCTGAGCTTGCGGGGTTCCGAGTTCTGACCACAGAGTAATAATGTGCTCCGACAGAGCCTTGACGGTTGCCACGCGGCGAGCATACTCTTCATAGACTCTGGTAAATTCATTGTCGAGCTGTTCAACGTAGCTTGAGGAGAGATCGAAAGAAGGCGGAAGTGACTGGTTAGGTCCCGTCGGCGGGAGGGCGATCTTGACAAAGGTAGACTCGAGATGCGAGGAATATGACTCGAGAGCTATCACAAGTTCTGCAGTTATGGGTTAGCTAGTGCTCGACTGGCGGCGCGGCCCTGGGTTTGTGAAAGGCTATCTGGACGTACTCTTGATCTGCTCGAATCGCTCGCGATGGAGCCGAGCAACCTGGCCATGCTTCTCCTTGAGCACAGCCAGACATCTTGTCAGGGGATATGTGATCTTGAGGTCATCGCTCGAACGACGGCTACGTGATGAGTTGGCATCGTCCAAAGATTGCTCCATCTGGCGAATGACTATAATGGTGCGGTTGGCCTCCTCAATCATGTCCTTCTTTTCTGCCGTAACCTGTCTGACTTGGTTATTCAAGGTCTCTGACAGAGCCGAGAACAACTGGTGGCGGGACAAAAGGGTTAGCATGATGCAGTACAAGCACAAGAACAGAATGGCAGATATGCAGGAAGCAGTCTCTCCATAGGCTTATTGGGCAGCAATCACATACCTCGGCTTCTCTTGCGTCGCGATCATGAGGCTGTACACCAATCTCATCAAACAGGCCATGAAGCTGGCCAATGATGGTGTTCACCTGCTGTGAAAGGTAGCTTGCGTCCATCGTGACCTAGAGTCGATTCGCGTGCAGCGCGCACTGGAATGGGGCGAAGGTAATTTCCAACAAAGCAGCTTTGCGGGGCGCTTCGATCTACAAAATAAAGTGGACGTTGGTCTTTGGGGACCAAAGGATCTTTTATGTGGTGTTGATGTCCTGAAGGGATGGTGTAGACATGAGATCCCTGTGGCGGGGCGGTGCTGATCAAGAAAAAAAAAGAGTTGTGTGGTGAAAGCTGAGAGTAATTTTCCTGGACTTGGGCGATGCGCTAGATATTGCGCGACTTGAATGAAATAGTCGGGAGGCTGGTGGTTTAATGAAAGAAAGATTGACAGGGCTTCTTCTCTTTTTTTTCCCCCTTCTCTACCAGCGCATGTCAAAAAGCGCACAACAAGCCAATAGTTTTCCAAAGGGCGCAAACCGCAACAGCTGTGGTGAAGGGAAAGGAGTTGAAGCTATTCAGGTCACACTTCGAAGAAAGTGGGTTGCAGTTGGTAGATAGGTAATGGGATGAACTCGAGGTGGGATCAACAATAGGCGCCGTACGGGATATTATTTTTTGCAGAAGCTCTTTGCATTTGCCCACAGCCATGGGCGGTCGCATGCACAAACCGGGGGGTCGGGATGGTCGCTAGGGCAACGCGGTGAGCTGTAGCGGGGCTCGGCGGTGCTCAAATGCACTTTCAGCGACTCTATCTCTGCTTCCCTGCTTAATTTAGACAGAAACCAGCAGGTCTTGTTTCAAAGACGATCCAGCAAAAAAGCAGCTACCCCGCCTAGTGCCTGGACACGCCACCACACGATGCCCCTTTGGGAACCGCTCTCAGCGCCGTCCAGTTTTGCCAGTCTCCATCTCCCCAGGAACGCTCCAATCAGTGCTCCATTTTCCCCATTCTACCATATGGCCGCTACCCTGCTTTTCTCTAGAATACACATAGCGTCGTCGATGTCTTACATATTTACGCCGATGGAAGACCCCATTTGTAGAATATCCATGGGAATTTACCGATGTTGGAACAACCAAGATCTGTTGTGGAGCTTTGAACTAAGGAAAAAAGGGAGGGAAAAACCTGCCTAGATGCTTGCCTTTGCATAACTAGTGAAAACTCAAGGTTATCGTTTAGCTGAACGATTCGATATCGACGATCAGCGGGATTGTTGTTTATTCTCCTGCTTTTTCTTCCGGCATAACCCTAAAAGTGCAGCGCCACAAAATATCAGACACACAAGCGATCCCGTCTCCCAGATAAGCAATACAAAGAGTCTATCCTTTCTCCTTGCTTATTCCGCACACCATTGGGACGGGAAACCCCCGAGCCATCGGCCACAACAAGTAAATAAAACAAACACAAGCCGGCCAGTGACAGGTCTTTGTCTTGTTATGATTCGACACCGGTACGGTAGTCCTTGCCTTCTTGCCACAACCGTGCCGTCTCCATGCGGCCAATGATGCACGGCTCCCAAAAAGTCATTCCTTTGAATGTTACTATCCTTCACAGTTTCATACCTATCCCGTATACATGTCTCGACATATACTGTCGGTGGGGTGCAACAATGATCTTCACCGTGGCCGGTTTCAGCAATCATGGGCCTATGCAAATTCCATATTCACATCGGTAATTCTATAGATTATCGAATCAGAGGCATGTTGAACGTGGCAGCTAGGAAAGGGACATTTGACAACCCGGCAATTGCATCTAACACTATCTGACCTTGATGAATTGCTTTATTTACTCTATTATTCTAGTCAATTTGTACAAGTCTTGTCTAGTAGCATCAACTATCCACACACCAGCTCGTCACTAACAAGGCCTTTTTGCTTGTCGTCCATCTTTGGCTCCTTGATACCGTCCGGGCCGTCGGGCTTTGGTAGGCAAGTCTCGTCACCCCCATTGTTCTCAGCCTCGCCAGTCTTCTGCAGCTCCTCCTCCATCTTCTTCTTGTCCTTCTTGCTCAGAGATAGTGCTCCCTTGGCCAATGCTTCCTTTGGCAGCGGCCTGATGATGGGTTGAGCGATCCACCAAGGTCGTTTGCACTTTTTCACAATGGCTACCGAGCTCTCCGAATCCAGAGGAGCGTCTGCTTCTCCGTTGGCATCGACACCATTGTCATTCGTGTTTGTGTCTGTTTGAGCAGCCGGTACGGCCTCTGTTTCCGGCTCGGCCTCCTCGGCGCTTTTTCCATCCGTCTTTGCGTACTCAATTAATCCTTGCGCGACCCGGTGCTCGACGAGCTGCAAGACGTTCTCAAAGGCCGGAACATCGCCAGGGCGCGCCTTGGCCAGTGCGTCGCGAATGTCTGTGTTCTTTGCCACGAAATGCCGCAAAAGATGGAATAAATGGGGCCTCATCGCCAACAAGTTGGGATCAAAGCATGGTTTTGGCTTTGAGCCACCCTCCTTCTTCCTCTTTTTCTTTGCAGGGCCTTCCTCTTCTGGCTCTTCTTCGGCTTGTGCCTGCTGCATCCAACCCTCATCGTCGCCAACGACAAACAAGGGTCTCCGTACTGGCGCCGGGATATCCCTCACCACGTGTTTATAAATAATGTCCATGTACCGCCTGAAAATGGCATCGACCCTGTATCCACCCTTGCCGTCTTTGCCGCGCCAGTACTCTCGAGTCTCAAAGTCGGGTGGCGGCAGTTCTGCAAAGATGGAGGGATCGCTCAAGTTGCCCTCGGCACTCATGATGGCATCGGCACCCGTGACCTCGAGACACTTGTCGACATCGCTTCGTTGCAGGATATTGCCATTGGCAAAGATGACCGTCTCTGGTGGAAGGTTGTCTCTCAAATAACGAATGTAGGTCCAGTCGGCAAGACCCGTCAAATGTCCTTTTTGCTCCCTTCTCCGCCCGTGCAATGTGACGATACTTGCGCCCGCAGCCAAACAGTTCTTGGCGTAAGCCAGGGTTGCCTCTTTTGTGTCGAGGCACCTGATCTTGGCCGTTACAGGAATTGGCAAGTTTTCATGTAATGTGTTGATGAGCCTGTAGATCAAGTCCTGGTCCTCCTGCAAAAAGGCACCATAGTGACCTTTCCGAGCGATCCCCTGGGGACATCCTAGGTTGAGATCCACGGCGTCGCAGTACGGTGCCGCGAGCTGAGCAGCAGCGAGCAGATGTGAGGGTTCGTTGGCGCAGAACTGCACAAACAATGGTCGGTCGAAGTTGGGGTTTCCGTCCAGCCACGGGGTAGTGTCGACTGGCGGCTCAGGCTCGCCTTTTTTCGCTGCGGGTACCGGATGTACTGCTTGGAAATGCGTGTCTCTGTATCTGGCGGTTTCTTCGAATAGACGAGCGTGGAACATTGGTGTATATGCGAGCAATTTTTCGTTCTCAGAAGGCGTCATGAAAGATCGTGTGAGCATGCGCCATGCCTAGAATAGAGAAACTTGTCAGTTTCTTTTTGCAAAAGATGCGATCAAACACAAGGCGGGCAGTAACATACAAACTCTGACTGGTCGACCATGGGGGCGACTACAAACTTGGGACTTCCGATGCTTTCATAGAATGCTCTGCCATGAAGTTTCGGCTTCTTGCTCGCAGTGGTGGTTGTGGCATCATTTCGCGCCGGCGCAGCAACCTCTGGTTGCGCATCAATGGGCGAGGTGGAAGCCATGGTCATGAAGCCTCTCTGAACTAAAAGTCTCCGGCCTGGAGACGTCCAGCATGCGAGACTTCTTCGTCGGACGAAATCCAGCGTGTCTGTGTGTATTCGGCTGCCTGAGGGAGCGTTCCGCTGTCGCGGTGAGGTAGGTGCAAGGTCAGAGCCTGGTATAGAGCCCCGAGTCCGTGATCGCAATGCGCCAAACCGTAACTTTTTTTTTTTGAACCCTCCGTCGAACTTATGGCAGGGGTCTAGAAAATAAAGTGGAGCACGTAGAGAAAACGCCATAGCCTTGCATAATCAGCACAAGGCTGAGATAGATCTTGTCCGATCAAGTGATCATCGTATCTGGGAGGCGCTAAGAACCAGCATCCAGCTCTAGCGAGCCTCTTGGTCAATGGCGCACCACCCCCTCATTTAATACGCGGTACACTAGTACCATGTAGGGGGACCCTGGGAATTTTCCCAACCACCAGTCATAGTCACCACACCCGCTGTCCAGAATGTTTCAGTCAGAGTTGAATGATCCTCCAACAATGCGTCTTCACCAAGGGACTAGGTAGGCTTGGTAGGCTCAACATATTTGCACAGGATGATTACGTGCAGGCGATCGGCATCATTCAACCCTTTCTAGACACTGCTGCATAACTACTGCTCTCGACAGGCAAAGATCTGTCCAATTGAAACATGTCAGGTGCATATTGCATGACCAAACAGCGTTGCGGATTTCATGTCATGAATCCATCTGGCAACGCTACCGCCTCCATCACAGCTCGTATCGAAACTTCCATGATCTACACTACATGCTACTAGTCAAAAACACAGCAGGGTACAAGAGCACCAAAACTAGTCTTGTTTGTCGAATTTCTGGTCATTTCCACAGCCACAAGGGATCTGAGAAAGCTTTTGACGCACTTGACGCGCAAAACGAATGGAAACGCCATCCCAATATCTGTAGGATGATTAATAACAGTCATAACAGTCATCTGCAGCAACACGAATCCCCTGTCTTTTGGTAATCGACTGCCAAGTGGCCAACGACGGCAAGTGCATCAGTGCGCAATATAAGCATCGGGCGAAACTATGGCTTTGAAAACATTTAATCAATTACTTTTCGCTATCTCCCCCAAAGTGTGATTTTGGGTAGCAAGACCCACGCTCCATGCCAGGAAGCGCTAAATGAAAGTCCATATCTCTTTTCCAGATACGCGTGTGCTCCCTCTTTTGTGATTCTGCCACCGTTTTTTGTGTTGTTCACGATGCTAGATTTTTATTTTGTATGTTTTTATTTTTCCGTCTTGTTTGGCTAGATGTAAGCCTCCAGCGTGGTTGGCTGCTAGTGAGAGGCTCTTGCGGTAAGAGCCTCATCCAATTGGGTATGATCTGGTGCTTCCCGGGTGGTTGGTAGCCTCAACTCAAATTCTTCAGATGGGAATTGGCTTGCGACTGTCGTTTCCCTCCTACTATTGCGCAATGTTCTGATTGTTTGTAGAGTCTTGCCCAATAGTCCGCATTGCGGTTTCCTTGCACAGATCATATTGCCAGGCTCATGCCACATGAGACTATATTGAGCCAAAATAGTTTGCGAGCTTAATTGGCTCGATCCATGTACCATTCGCGCAGGAACAAGTGGAACGTTGTGCAGGCATGCTGCTATGATTGATTTGGTAATTACTGAAGTCCTCGAAGATGTGTAGAAAAATGGAAAGAAATGAACAAAGGACGGCTGATTTGCTGCTACGCAAATACCTGCTTATTGACCGGTACCCGTCTAATCGGGGACGAATCGGGTGTTTCAGAAAATTCCAGAACGCCAATAGACTCCTTACTATGCTGACCAGGCCATACGCCGCCAAAGTGAATACTGAGAAACACATGAGTGGATGATAACAATGCTGTATGAAAAAAAAAGGAAAAGGCTCGTCGAGATGTGCGCTTGAAATGCTCTTCATCAGAAAAAGTGCGTATAAATTTTGGACGTTTCATGAACCTCCATCTCCTGCAGCACCGGGTATTAGTTACACAGTCTAAGTCACGGTGGAACCTTGCGACTTACCATCTTGAAACTGTTCAGTTCCTCCTTGATCTGTTGTGCCAGCATGGGCGTCAGACGATTGCAAGTAGCAATCTCACCTCGCCTGTCATACTCCTGAGGCGGCCAAGTGTCATGGAATATGAGCCTAGGGCTGAAAGTAGCGTTGCGCTTGCTCAGCACACCCTGTGGCGTTCCCGGTGCACTCTTGGAGTCTTGGCGGAGCTTCAAAGCAGACATGAAATAGTCCTCACTGCCAATAGTAATGGATCCCGGGAGCTTGCCAGAGCCATCTTCGTTGGGAGTGCTAGGCGCCGTCGAGTTGGGAGAATCCGAGACGTTGGGAATCATGGGAAGCTCAAAGACAGGCCCTTTGCCGGCTTGCGGCGAGGGGCTCGGTGAGTTGCTGCGGGCTAAGGAAGCTTTTGTTAGTCTTTATGGAACAATATCATTCAGGTCCCTCACTTACTCTTAAGAATGCCTTTTCGAATGGCACCGAGGACTTCTGCCCGTTCCTTTTCTCCTCCGACAATGCTCTTTCGAGCCATCGAGTCGTTGTCAGAGCTACCCACGCGATCTGACTTGAGGCTATCGTGATGCACTTGATCCATGGCATCCAACGAATTACGTTCCAGGCGTGGAAATCCAGATGCCCCTGCCTGATGAGACAGATCTGCGTTCGAGGTAACATTGACCCTTTCCCGTTCGGCCTCAACTGTAATCATGGACACTGCTGCTTGGCTGGCTTCGGGGGCAGCCACCTCTCCAATAGGTGAGCCAATCACAGACTTTGGCCGGAATAAGCCTGCGAGAGAACGCCCGCCCTTTTTCATGCCCTTGCCCATCTTCCGCAGCATGATGGATGCAGATGATGCAGTTGAAGAAATCGACAAATTATCCGTCGACCCGGTGAAGATTTTGGTGCCCGAGTAGATGTTGTTACCAAGGCCGCTGGCCTCTTGCTTTTGAGCAATGCGAGCTTGTTCCTGCTCGTACAAATCATCGGTATCAGGCTCCTTCCGTAGCTTGCCAGCATCATGATGGCCGATTCGGCTGGCATCATCGGAGACATCTTGACCAGCAGCCTTCTTAAAGTCAGCGGCACTGCCAAAAGAGAAAGCTCGACGAAGTCGAGATGTTTTGCTCTTTGATTTTCCTTTTTCGTTGATAGCCGCCAGGTGTTGTGCGGCAGGGCTGTTCGCTGCGGGCCCATGGGATGAGCCAGGGGGCTTCGATGGCGCGGCGGCAGGAGCATTGTCTGATGCAGGTTTGGCAGCCTCGTCAGAAGGCATGGTTGCCGGCTTGGATAGTGGCGAAGGAGTGAGAACTCGCTTCGCAGCATCCGACGAAGATCCCCTAGGAGGAATGTTGACCGATTTTGGGGTATCCAGAGTGTTGGACTTGTCGTCGGACGTGGTAATTGTCGAGGCGGGGCTGGCTGTGGGGACGGATGCGTTGGAGTTTCGATTGGTAGACTAGAATGGCACAATGCATGAGCATGGGAAGGGAAATGGGGGACTACACCGCTGATTGGGCAATGCATCGGGCAAAACGATATAATTGGTGCACTTACCGAAGATGGCCGAGAGTTGCTACTCTTGCTAGACACGAGGCTTTCAGAGCTGCCATTCCGGGCCTGCGTAGCAGTGTTCTGATTCGTGTTGCTTGCCGCAACTGGGACAGGCACAACGCGTGGCGACGCTTTTTGGCTCTTGTCAGATATGCTAGCCTTTCTTGCGCGGCGAGCGGCTTCAGTTTGCTGCTTCAGCTCTTGCGGGGTCAAAGGAATAGGATAATCTGACGTATCAATCGAGTGCATGCTGCGTCGACGGAATCGCCTCATTTCTTCCTCGGTTGGCTGGCGTTGAATCAGCATATCATCTGCCGACATCCCTGGCACATAGCCATAAAGACTGTGCGGTCGAGCTGCCAGCGTCGCCGAATTTCTGTGTACTGGCATCCTTTGGCCGGTGACTCGCGGATTATACAAATGAACAACCGTGGCCATACCCGATCCAGATGGCATTGCTGAGCCTGAACCTGCGCTAGAACTCTGCGATTGCGATGAGGTACTTGACGACGAATCGACTGGAGCTCGTTGTGCTGGCCGCCTGTATCGATCCGGAGCAGCTTTTCCGCCTGCAACCTGGGCAAAGGTCGGCTGGCTCATCATTTGCTGCTTCGTGGCAGATGGAAGGGCGGAATCATCGCGAGCCATTGTTTGTGCAGGTATCCTGGCCGAGCTGGGAAGATTGGTCATGGAAGCGTGTTGTTGGTATTGAGGGCGTGAAACCATATTACCACTTATCGTTTGCGTTGTTGGCAAGGATGGGCTTGATGATGTCCTCAATGTTCCATATGGCTGCCACTGTCCATTGTTGCTCAAGGCAGGAGTCGATGTGAAGGCATATGGCTGAACTGGATTTGCAGCTATGCCCCGATAGCTTGTCTGCCCATTCACCATACCAGGCACGGCGTATGAGTTGTTTCGACTTGTCTGCGAGGCTGATGCATACTGCTGGCCAGAGCCTGACTGGGAATGGCTATGAGAGTGTCCCGACATGGCTGATGATGAGCCAGGTCTCGTTTGAAGCATGGTGACTGTTCCGTTCTGCTGGGGAAACGATTGAATCATAGCAGCCATGATCCTACAAAAGCGTGCCTGCTATAGGTTTGAAGAAAAATCAATTCTGCAACGAGCAAAAGAATTGACCTTTGAAATCGATACTGATGGGTAGGGACAGGGCCCAGTGTTTCAAAACGAGAGTCGCGTCTAGAACAAGGGTCAAGATGATACTGGCGGCATACGAGTTAGCATCGTTTGTTACAAGGCAATCCAATCGTATAGAACTGGTAAATATAGTGGCAGGATATGCTACGGTGCGAGAGTCCTGGGATTGTGTGGTAATGGGATGCTAGACACAATGTGAATTGGAATTAGATGCACGCCCTCATACCGTTATTTTTCTGAAAATAGGCAATCGAGTTCTGGATTGCCAGTCGGGCCAGTCGGCCGATTAAAGAAATGTAGTGGCACGAAAGAAAAGATCAAAATCTCGACCGAAGACCGTTTATGACAGAGGGGAGGTTCGAATCAAAGGGCGCCTGCGACCGGAGGTGGAAACGAATGGATAAGAGCCGACACAGGAGATTCACAGCTACCGTAGACCTGTCTGTCCGATGGCCGTCGAGTGTATCTCGGAACGACCGGGGTCGTCGGTGTCGGAGGAGAAATAGTAGTGAGGTTATCGTGAAGTCGAGAAGATTCTCAGGTGCCACGAAAGGACACACTGGAAGACGGTGGAGGTTTTGCCTAGCAGGACATGGGAGGCAAGACTGATCGAACAGTGCAAGCGTCCGAGCGTCTCGATTCTGGATTTGGGTCTTAAATTTCGATCCTTTTTTTTTTTACTTCCTTATGGAAAGGGATGGGAAAAGAAACCAGTTGAATAAGTATTCCTTTTTTTTTTCTTGGTTGTATTTTTTCGGCCTCGAGATGAATTCTTGACGAGATGAGCTGCCGTGCGAAGAAAAAAGTGCAGTACTGACACCCAAATTCTAGAGACACAAGCGGCAGATTGGAAGAGAAGAAAAAAAAAAGGGGAAGCGCGGAGACAAGGTGGAAGGGTCCTCAGCTGTGGAAACAAAAGAAGGGAGCGGCGTTCACGTCGAAACCCGGGACAGGTGGTAGTGGAATTAAGGAGCAACGACGATGTACACACTAAGTCACCAAGCAGGAAACCAAGGGCAAGGACGCAAGAATGAGACGGGGAAAAGAGGAAAGGGCTGAGGGAAAAGATGTGGTGACGATGATGGTTGGTGGTAGTAACTCCAAAGAGTGTCAAGAAAGTCAAAATCAAAGTCAAAGAAAAGGGTCGGAATGTTTGGAAAAAGGATAGGGAGAGAATTGGGGGACTTGAGTGACTTGCCTGGGCAGATTGGAGACAGGCCAGGGCAGAGAGTTGCAGCAGGGAATTGAATTGGGGATGGATCATTTGCTTGCATTGGCAGAACCCGACATGAGGCCTGGAGCTCTGCTGCTTTTGCCTGCCTGTGTCTGGCTCATTCTCCGCCGGCCAATTGGAGAGTCAATGGGTGAGGATCCAGGACCCAGGACCCGTGTAAATCACAGCAGTACCTAGGTAGCTAGCGGGCTAGCATTAACAGCAACAGCAGCAAGAGAGACGAGACCCCGTAGCTACCTGTATGTAGTGTAGCTCTGTCTGTCCACTGGGCCCTAATGTTGGTGGACATGTGCTAGAAAAAGTAAAGTAGCTTTACTACTACGTACCTCGCGGGCAGGTGTACCGTAGAGGTGTGTGTAGGTAGTACTGTGAGTGGTGAGTCTGGCTCACTTCAATGGGCCACAAGGGAATCCACAGGCCAGAGGAAACGAGACCCACCGCGCTTTCTAGAGGCACTGGAGAAATGGCGAAATGGCACCCTTTGCCAGCAGTGGTCTAGCGCGGGTACTGCGCCTCAATTCAGTCCAGTTCAGGGCCTGCTGCTGCTATTGCTGTTGCTGTCGTTTGAACATGCACTGAGATAATCTCTGTACGGTACGTACCTACCCATTGCACATGTACTCATCATTCAATGTTCTGAACACGACACGACCGCGATCGTCATCGCTGTCTAAACGTCGACCATTACGTATATTGCATATATTCTCTGTCGGTTGCCAGTCTGTCAATCCTTTATCTCGCACTCGGAAACTTTTTGCAGCCAGGAACGCGCTCGGCTAAGTAAACGTAATAATGCATTTCATGATTGATACCTATATTTTGCCTACCAGCCAGTTTCTACCTAGGTAGGTAGGTAGGTAGTTAGGCAGGCAGGCACGCAAGTAAAGACTGCATGTGCGCTAAATCATGTAGGTCACCACTATGCAGCGCCTGCTTTGCGCTAATTCGACGCTTGATCAGATCAACTAGAGTGACAGTTAAGCGGCACCAAACAGTTGGCAAGCTCCAGTCCAGGACGCCCCCCCTTAGTGCGGGCAGACCAAAGTTGCATCAGGTACAGGTAACTACCGCAAGAGAATCATCAAATGGGGTGCAAGTTCCTGGACGGTCGAGGCATCTGGGCCAGGCACAGCTATTTCGACCAATCTGAGAGATAGGTAAAATAGGTACATCTCATCTCCCGCAATTTCGCACGACCACGTCGCGTACCTCTCCGTGCGTCAACGCCAGACCTCATAATTGTCCGCGAGAGCACAGTTTGCTCAGTGACCCGTCCCAAGACGAAGAAGAAAATAAGTGACCCCCGTTGTCCTATTTGGTCTTCCACGTCCGCGGGGGCATCAACAACTCGTATGGAAACTGACCGGGTTGTCCATTGGACAGGCCGAAACGGTGGCGGGCGACAGGCATTGATCGCTGCCGCGCTAGACAAGCAATGGGGCAGGGAGACAGGGGCGGTTTACGCGGCGAAAGGCGGCTTGATCGAAAGGGATGCATTAGATGAGTATCCTGATGAATCAAATATTAATATAATTATAATACAGATTTATTCATCTCACTATCCTGAAGTTGCTGAGATGACTTTTTTCCCTATTGCTCGAGGTGGTTCTTGGATGGCATGTCATTCTCATTTCTCAGCCCAGATTGACGACGTATGATTTTCTTCCCCAGATCTTATCATTCCTCGACCGACTGGACGCTTTTTCTGGTTCAGAGCAGAGCAGGGCAGAGCAAAGACTCGAGATCGATCCGCGCAGATGGTTCCCGACTCGAAAATCAACCGCACATGGGCCACGAGTTCCCTTCGTACCACGTTGGCCGGAGCACATTTGGACGTTGCGACAGGATTTCCACACATGGTAGCTTCAACCTAACACTACCTACGTGGTGATTGATGATCAAAGTCCTCAGAGGGGGGGTTCCCAGTCCATCGTGGGGACGGGTGCGGGTACGAGTAAAAGCCCGAGGCAAATGAGTTACTGAGAGGTACCTGCTTTTGTCAGCATCCAGCAGTGACTTGACTGTTTGAGAAGCAGACGCGCAATTCGAACCAATGCCTCAGAAACTACCTAGTAGCTACTAGATGACTCGTCGTTGCTTAGTTGTGTCGTCTGATGAATGCTTTTATGTATGTCTGCTGGCAGCAAACACAAGTATGCAAAACACCAAATGCGCGCGCATGGTACATGATGTAGACGCCAAGTCTCGAGATTACTATTACCGTTGCCGTACGCTGAGCCTGTTTTTTCTTCATTTCCGGGGGTCCCTGTTCATAATTCGCCGTGTCCGTGCTGCTGCACCACCTCAGGAGATGATACTAATGCTACCAATTGAACCAATTCCCATCCGCCCTGCCACGTTCGTACGATTTCCGTGGGGTCTCTCGAGAATTGCATCTACTAATTCAATGCAGCCGAGGATCAAGTGTACAACTACAACGGAAGAGATGGCCTTTCTTTCTTATTCTTATTTTTAATTTTTTATTGGTTTTTGCCATGTCAGCGGGATACAAGGAAGGGGCTGCAGATACCATAATGGGCAAAGCCCTGTTGACCTAAGGACTGTCTCCATCCCTGGATCCGGTATAGCGGTGGGATGTGTCACATATAAGATCATATCTTAAAGCATATAAACTACACCGTTCTTGTTTTGTTGCCGGGGCGAATGCTACGTTCTAAATCAGAAAAGTTGGCAGGGTTGAATACGTGTCAAATTGTCTGTTAAAGATGGTTTTCATACTGTAGATATATAAGCCGCAACTTGCTTCAGTGACCATTGACCAGGGCATCTCGTAATGCAACGTACGTATCATAGAGCCAGTACCAATATTCATCATCAGCTGCAGGTGAGAGGCATCGATCACAGAGTCAACCCGATGACCGCCGTTGTACTGTGTCCGCAAACTCCACCAGATACCTGCTCGCGGCCCTGCTCCTATCGGTGCTATCTGTTTGTTCGCTACCGGAGACAAAGGCGCCCCGCAACTGATTTCCCCGGTACCCAGATTTGTTGGCAGATCTAATGCCTTGACCATAGCCAACGCCTGAGGGATCGACATGTGCGACTTTGTCTCTCGTCTTGATGAGCAAGTTTCCTGGGAATAATACTCCGTCAACGTTCCCTTGCTGAGTCAAGCATGCCGCGATTGGGACAAGACAAATCATATGCCATCCCTCCCCTTATCGTCTTTTTCGCATCAGCAGCAGTTTAACTATTATACTATGAATATTGGCTTTGCCGTCTATTTTAGTCCTGTCTCGGCAATCGATCATGGGATGGAAGTTTAGCGATCGGCATTGAGGTCTTGGTTGCTGCATTCATGGCTTATGAGGGATATGCCTTCATCGCATCGTAGTTGTGACTCGTGTCGTGTTTTACCACATTCTCTACTTTTTAGTAGGCACGTTGCCAGCTAGGACCCTGCTCTTGGAAAGCTGACCACAACCAACGAGACGCCGAGACTGACGAATCGAGAATTCGCATGTACACGCACGATTGATATATGCATAGGGTCATGGCTAGCTTTGAGCGCCAAGTCATGTAATGCGCGTTTTGCAAGAGAAAGACTACGAGATAAAAATTGCCTTGCCATTTTCAGTACGCTCAGATAAGATCCACCTGCATTACTGCGCATGACAATCTTTCATCTCCCTCTAGGCACAGCAAGGCAAAAGGTTCAAGAATGTTTCAATATTGGATAATTGCTTTTGCAAGAAGCGATTAATATCTGCCAAATCTGCAATTCAAGATCGAGCTGCCAAGTGCTGACGAAGGATCTTGATAGCCGTGTTAACGGTCGTACGGAAAAGAGATGGCGTGGCTTGACTCAAGCGCATACTTGTCAGCCAGTCGTAGAATGTCTAGGGCGACCTGATGACACACGCCGGTCCAATTCGATCAGCCTGTCAAGGCTCCTCTATGGAATTGAGCTCGGATCATGTGCAATTGTCAACCTACTGTGTAGGTATGCTATTCCACAATAAATGCCGGCTTCGCTTGGGTTCATCCAAGACACTTGTGAATTTGTTCATGTCTGAGAAGATCGGCGGTTTTATGCAATCATGAATTCCAATCTGCCGCGCTCGACATTCTTCTTTACCACCGGAACCTAGGCTCAAATTGAGTTTAATGATGGCTTGCGATTTATACTCGACTGTCAAAGGGGAGATGTGAAACATACCTACAATAGAACTATTAGATTCAATTTGTTCGAGCGCGTGTCGGCGAAAGCCCATCAGATGCTCTGTGCCGAGCCAAGCCTACTTCCCTTTATCTCCAGCCCTCTCACTCTGAAGGTCCTTTTAGGTTCGCCGCGCGTATGCTTGAACAGTTTGGTGTCACTTCATGCCATTGATCGAACGCGACATTGCCGAATCAGGGCGTTTTTGAGCCATATAAAATACCAGTCAACTGATATTTAATTGACTTTTTCTTCTTGCGATTACAGTTGCAATTACAGGCATGCCGTCGACTCACGTGAAGCCGTTCAGTAGGGTCTCATTATAGTGCAATTATACCTAAGCATAATGGGACATTGGTAGAATCGAGATGACAATAACTTTGGTATATTGTGTCTGAAAGCAATAATGACGAGTGAACTTTTAGCCATGAATCTTTTGAGCTTTGCCTTTTTTCGCAATATCTCGGGCTCTTTGTCACCGCTTTCCTCAGAGCGACAAGCAATGCAACAACACTTCAAGCCTTTACGCGTCTCGATCTATCCTTGTCTCATGTTGTACGTCGTGACACAACGTCTTCCCGCATCTTCGCGCATCTGCGGCAGCTACCATTTCAGATCCCGGAAATCATGCCCATTCTCAGCTGGCACCGGGAGAGCCGGGCATCCTCTCATGCCTTTGGAGTTCTCACCGGCACCCTTAATGGAGTGCTTCCGTCTTCGGCACGAACATGCGCGTCGGTCGTAGCGAGATACTATTGTTGTTTTCTTCCCCTCCCACTGGCTTATGGCTCTGCAAGGCTAATAGGTGCGTTTTCTTTTTCGGCATGGCCCGCAGCCCAGCTTCGCGATGGTCCGAGACGAAGAAAACAACTTGTTCCGAGCCAGGCACCAGGCACCCACTCAAGACACTGTGACCAAGCAAAACCTAGGCATTACCATACACTTTACCGTAGCGCGTAAACTCAGCCAATCTCTCTAGTCCATATCTTTTCTTTCCAGCTCGCGGTTGTGCTGCCGTCTAAAAAGGTTACAACGTTCCTTGCTAAACCAATCGGCTGGGACAGTGCAGCTTGTTCAGGTATAGTGAACTATTGCCATCATTTACCATATCAGACAACTTGGTGTCATCGGAACCAGGCATGAGGGTCAGCTCAAGTATAGTTTTGCTAATAGAACTGAAATACTCAGCGCCAGACCACAATACCGGTCACGAGGACGCGCGCCTTGTGTAAAATAGCGAAATATTCCCAGCGGCCAAGGTGAGCTTGCTGGTATAGACTTTAGACCATCTAAAAGACCTACGTCAGCGGTCTGTTTCAGAATACAGTTTCTGCGCGTTATATACGTTTTGTTTCCCCCTCTCTGCCGAAGGTTTGACCCGGCGCTCCCAGCTGGCAACGCCGGCCAAGAAAGCCTCACAGACAGCAGCACATAGCAGTAGTACCGAGGATCCTACTTGAACAGCACACCTGAAAAGCCCCCACCGCTTAGAGATCCACTCGCCGCTTTGAGTTTCAACGCAGACGCGGGAAAAGCCTCACTCCACTCGGGGGGTTGTGTGGTGTGGAGTCGGCGCCGGCGAGGAAAAAAAGGGGGCCGGGTTCTACGGCCTAGGCGCCGGTACCCGAAGGGTAGCTCATTGCAATGCGCATCAACACTACACTACTGCCGACCTACTTGAGCTCTCAAGCTTGCTTTGGGCTTCAGTGTTGTGGTGTTGGACTTTCTCACCCTCATGGTTTCTCTTGTTATCTGCAGACTGCAAGTCATTGCATCCCCAAGCTCTCCCCCCGCTTACTATTGTTGCACGTCTTTGTCTCTGCTGTCACACGTGAAGCTGCCGCCAAATTCCGTTGCCCGCCTGCTCGGTGTTTTGATTCGTAGCTCGCCGGGCATAAGCTACCTCAGCCACCCGTGACGTGATTGTCAGTCAGGCTTGCAGCACTTATTACTTACATGCATGCTCCGATAACCTTTCTCCGCAACCTGCAAGAAGCACAAGCAAGCACTAAAAGCAGACCGCAACATTGAGCCCGCTTGAGCTGAGAGGGGGAGACCGAGATAAGCCTTTTCTTTCAGCTTTTCGCATACCGACCAGAAAGCACCACACACTGATCCAGTCACCATCACACAGTCACACTGCTTCTCTGGTTTTGTCTGACCACGGATTCCCTACATAAAAGGCAGCCCGCGTGCGTCCGATATCGATACAAGGCTATCACAGCCCCACAGGCAAAGCAAAAACGAAGCCCTCTGCACCCCAGTTTGCCCATCTAGGCGCCCCCTTGTGTTTCCCGATCTGCCTTTGGAATTTGCTTTTGGTTTCTAGCCTCGTTCAACTGATCACACCGCGGGACTTTTTTTCAATTCATTTGTCCTGAGACTCCCCACCCCAAAATTTGTTCGTGTGGCTGGGGACCTATGATGGTCGGCGCGTCCAAGACCAGAAGAGGGTGTCAGCAATGTTTGGTGCGGAAGATCAAGTGTGACGAGGCACGACCTGCCTGTGGAAGCTGTGTCAAGTACAATACGCGGTGCCCTGGCTACCAACAGCGCGGCCTCAAGTTGTTTGTGGCTGGGAAGCACGCGGTGAAACCACGCGGGAGGCAACAGCAGTTGTCGTCGGTTGTGCAAGTTGGACCACCACACCCGGATTCCGATCCCTCTGTACCAGGAACCGAGCAAACAGTAATCGTGCTGAGTCATACTGCTGTCGGAGGACGTCGTCGGCAGGAGAGCAGGAATAAGCCCCGGGCTCCCCAGCCAGTCACGGCGCTCGAAAAGCTACAGGCCGCTGTGGTTCGGAAACACAAGGTCCTGGGCGCGCCGCGGCACAACACGACGCTATTCGTGGGTGCTTTGGTAGAATCCATGTACTGCGCCCTGCCTCGGGACGAAGAATTTCTGCCAGATATCTGGAATGGCGCTGCTGCTGGAATGCATCGATCGCCGGCTTTAATGACTGCTCTGTGCGCAATTGGCAGTCATCTGGTAGGTCAACTCTACTGCAACGAGAACGTCTTGATAGAATCTCGCTTGGTATACAAAACATCACTGCGGCATCTTCAACTGGCCTTGTACCATCCCCAGGAATGGAAGTCGTCGGAAACGCTTGGCGCATCATTAATTTTATACTATTTCGAGGTAAGATACATTTCTAATAGTAGGATCATTTATAGCTCTTGTATTTCGACGACATGACCACAACTTTGAGCAGATTTTAACAGGGTCGACTACCTCCGACAATCGAAAGCATTATGCAAGAGGCATTGCCCGTTTGCTTCAGGTAAGGGGTATTCGAGCCCATATCGAGCCTTGGGAAAACGCAATACTGCGAAATTTGAATTTTCACTTCGCAAAAACATTTCCCTTAACATGTTCATGAATGAATACACCGTGCCGAGTATGTATTGCGATCGTCTACTTTGCTCAACCTGGAAACAGCAACCAAGAGCTTGTGCATTTGGCAGTTGAAGATATCATAGGGTCTGATAGACTATTTACATGGCATGTTAGAGGCGGAAAAGGGTGATGACTCACAGTACCAGCTGCTACATTAAACGAATAACAAATGTAAATGTAATCCATCAAACAAGCCTCCGACGTCTGTTTCTAAAGAGTTCAGGCCCTAAGAAGAGAAAACACCACAAAACCAAAACTAATCAACAGTGACCTGACGAGAAAGACGCATGAGTAACTCAAGGGCCTGATTTCTACCACAAACTATTATGATCATGCCCTTGGAAGACATAGACAACACAAGCGCCATGATCACTCCCATCAAACCATATAATCCTACCATCGACAGGCACGTGGACAACGCAAGTGCCGGGATTTCTTCTAAAAGTACTCGGCCACGCTTTACGACCATCGGCTACTGCGCTTCTCAGAGGTCCACAATAGGGTGCTGTTGAAGGTACAGTTGACACGCTTGCTGACCTTGTCCAAGAGCGGCATGGGGGGGGGGGGGGGGGGGGCTCGTGGTTGAGGTCCAGGTCCTCGTACGCTCCCTTCATCTCCCTGGCAGTAATGGTCTTGGAAGGATTGTTAAAAGATACAAAGGCGAAATTGTCTGGAACCGCCTTTTTCAACTCTACTCCTTCACCATTTCTGGTTTGACTTGCCTTGCCGACTGCCATTCGCCAAAGCGGTCATAGTGGTCCAGCACCAAGATCCGGTAGAGCACAGTGATAGGATGATCCAATTAGGGCTGGTTCGGCCCGTGTCTGATATTATTATATTTCATTTGTTAAATTTTGGCGGAGTTCTAGCAGAACGGTTCTCTTGCGTAGTAAACTGCTT